TGGTCTTCCGAACTGCGACAAGACCACGTGCACCCTTGTCCTGTCCCTTTGGAATAGCAGTAAATGTCCATGTGGTCATTCCACTTCAATGCTTCTCCATAGTCACTTCCAATTTTATATACTAATCCTCGTCCGAGTGGGGCTCTGTATCCTCAGGCCCTGGACCCTCGGGGCCTTGAGCCTTCGGGGCTGCACAATACTTCGCATTTTCTTCTGTGCTGCCGCACTCTCGAATCTGTAACTTGACCCATTCGTAAATGTAGAACAAATACCGCCTCCTTCTTGCATCATCTTGGCCTTCCCAAGATGAACTCTCCCCTCTACTCATCGCATTGCTTTAAATAGATTCTGTTTCTTCTTCGTGTCCTTGGGCACCGTTGGCAGTTTGGGAGACTTGTTTCGGGGTCCATTGTTTTTTTTAGCTTTCGCTGTCAAACTTGGGACCCCTGGACCATAATATTTATTATGGCCCATGTTGTCTTCTTCAACGAAGACATAAGGGGGAGGATTTTGTGGTTTTTCTTCATATTCCACCTTGACCTCAATAGCAGAGCTCCTCCCCGGGCTATGCAGGTCCTCCGATCCTTCTTCCTTCTTAATCACTGGCGATCCGGTTTCCAGTGTCTTGGTCGTCCCTTGGTCCATCTTGACCGTTGTCTTTTCTTCTTCGTGGGACTCACGGTGAAATCCCGCGTCTCCCGAAGATCCGGGCACGCGCACCATTGTGGTGGAGTGGATTCTCAAACAACGTGAGAGAACCACAAACACACACAGCGCCGGACTGCCGACTTACGGAGGGGGTACCCCGATACCGTGTCGTGTTGGCCTTGGGTCTCACCTTGTGTACCCGTCGGCTTGGCTGGTCTTGCTCCTCGGTTGACGTAGAAGACTTAAGACTTGGTCTTTGTATAAGACTTGGACTTGGTGGTCCCCGAGTGGATATACTTCACTTGGGACCGGGTTTCTTGGGCTCAATCGACTTGGTCGAGAGCGATGCACCTGGTACTATGTACCCCTTTGGTGGCTGACTGTTTCTTGGTCTTTGGACCCCTTTGTGTTCTTCCCCGTAGGGAAACCGCTTCCTGTAGCGGGTCGTAGAATGGGAGACAAAAACTCCCCCAAGGGGAAAAAAAACCCCCCCCCAAAAAAAAAAAAAAAAGAGTGTTGACACTTACTTGACACCTCAGGCCAACTATCCTGAGGTTCAACTTGCGTTGCTTGAGTCGTCACACCTCCCTGGACGTCGGGGGGCCAAAGGGTATCCCGCCCGGAAGAGGTGTAGCGACGGAGAAGCTTAGGAGGGGCGCTTAAAGCTGCCACGTGTAATGCAAATTCGAGTGTGTTTATTTACCTTATACTTTGTATGCTTTTTCTTGCCTAACCCTAACCCTTTGATCTGGATAGTGCCACGTGTCAACTTGTGGAAGAACAACTGGCTCTTTTAGGACATGGGACTTGTACCGGCTCTGCACTTTAAGGAAGCCTTGTGCCTTCTATTCCCTGGGGTCCACCGGTCACCTGGGTCCACCTGTCGCCTGGGGTCCACCTGTCACCTGGGGTCCACCTGTCACCTGGGGTCCACTGGACACCTGGGGTCCACTGGACACCTGGGGTCCACCGGTCACCTGGGTCAACCTGTCGCCGGGGGTCCACCTGTTACCGGGGGTCCACCTGTCACGGGGGGTCCACCTGTCACCTGGGGTCCACTGGCCACCTGGGTCCACCGTTCACCTGGGTCAATCTGTCACCTGGGTCAACCTGTCACTGGGGGGGTCAATCTGTTACCTGGGGTCCACCGGTCACCTGGGTCCAACAGTCACCTGGGTCCACCTATCGCCTGGGGTCCACCTGTCACATGGGACCCACCAGTCGCCTGGGGTCCACTGGTCACCTGGGTCCACCGGTCACCTGGGTCATCCTGTCACCTGGGGTCCACCGGTCACCTGGGTCCACCTGTTGTCTGGGACCCACCTGTTACCTGGGGTCCACCTAAGCTGCCCTAGCAGCACTAGTCCTTTGGTCTGTAGTGTAGGACATCCTAGTACCTTCTCCGAACTCGGGACCTTGGACCAGTTCGGGGCCCTGGTCACTCCCTGTCACTCATTCAAGAGAGTGACCGAGATCTTTCACGCCAGTTATTATAATAACTTCGAAGGCCCCCCCACATCTCTGGCGCTTCTCCACAGCTGGGCCCCGGTACCCCGGTACCCCTGGGCCCCGTTACCCTGGTACCCTGGTACCCCGGTACCCCTGGGCCCCGTTACCCTGGTACCCCGGGCCTCTGGGCCTCGGTATCCTGGGCCCTGTACCCTGTGCCCTGGGCCTCGGTACCCCGGTACCCTGCACCCTGTACCCAGGTCCCTGATACCCTGGTCTCTTGTACCGTGGGCCCTTGGACCTTGGAGCCTGTACTGTCTCTGCACGTAGAAATACCTTGTACCTTCTTTGAACTTAGGACCTTGGACCACCTCGGGGCACTGGACCCTTCGAATCCTGGTGTGCGCCCGGTAGGGTAACCTTGTACCTTTGACCCTGGACGTTCGATATCCCTGTCTCCGATAGCTGGTACCCCTGTCCCTGGTGCCCTGTCCCTGGTGATTGGAAACCTTGTCCCTGGTAACTGAAAACCCTGTCCCTGGTGACTAGTACCCCGGTCCCTGGTAACTGGTATCCCTGTCCCCGGTAACTGAAAACCCTGTCCCTGGTGACTAGGAACCCGCGTCCCTGGTGACTGGTACCCCTGTCCCTGGTGACCCTCGGTTAAACCTTGGAACCTTGCGAGGCCTGGGTTCTTGTACCCTGGTACCCTAGTCTCTTGTACCGTGGGCCCTTGGACCTTGGAGCCTGTACTGTCTCTGCACGTAGAAATACCTTGTACCTTCTTTGAACTTAGGACCCTGGACCACCTCGGGGCACTGGCCCTTTCGGGTCCTAGTGTGCGCACGGTAGGGTAACCTTGTACCTTTGACTCTGGACGTTCGATACCCCTGTCCCCGGTAACTGGTACCCCTGTCCCCGGTGACTGGTACCCCTGTCCCCGGTGACTGGTACCCCTGTCCCCGGTAACTGGTACTCTGTCCCTGGTGCCCTGTCCCTGGTGACTGATACCCTTGTCTCCGGTTGCTAGAAACCCTGTCCCCGGTGACTGGTATCCCTGTCCCCGGTAACTGAAAACCCTGTCCCTGGTGACTAGTACTCCGGTCCCTGGTGACTGGAAACCCTGTCCCTGGTGACCCTCGATTGAACCTTGGGACCTTGCGAGGCCTGGTCCCTTGTACCCTGGGGCCCCTGTACCCTGGTACCCTGGGGCCTTGGTACCCTGGGCCCCGATTCTCCTGGAACTTCACCACACAAGCTTGAATATATTTAAGCTTGCAGGTGAAGTCTGTCTGAAGCATCACCATGACGCCCAGTCCCAACTGGCGTCATCCCCGTTGAATGTGATTTCATCCATGGATATCACATTAATGTGCCGCACCCAAGTGGTAGGTCTAAGGTACCATGTGCACTTTAAGACCTGCTTGTTGAGTGTTCGACACTTAACGAACCGTGTAACTTTTATCCCGTTACAGATTGCTAGTTTACATTAATGCTAATGGCTCTACATTTTCGGCGTGCTGCGTCGTTTCATACCAACCACTTCCTTGGTATACACCTTGAACCCTTTCGTCTTGTCGTGCTTCTCAACAATTTTTCTTATTCGGCGTATGGTTTCCATGATTTCTTTTACAGATCGCGATACGCCGTGCACGGACTTTCGAGCCCACTATATCAACAATACCGGGATTCTTACTGTAGACGGGCACTTCTACGAAGTTGCCTCGTACTACTAGCACACACCTTGTGCGCAAGCGAGGAAGCGGTTAGACCGTCTTACCTTCGCGTGCGAGGGTGATTATGCGGTTGGTCGACTGCTTAAGCTGTCGTACCACCAGTTGCCTCTCGCTTAAGCAAGAGTGCAACGAGCTTCTAAAACAAGAAGTCACCGGCGTCACGCAGAAGCTTTTAAAGCTTCTCGTGCGCGGTGCTTTATATTTAGCAAATTCAAGACTGAGCTATATATAATAAATTATAATTAAATATAAACTTAACTACTGATTGGCTATATATGTATATAGATCGGATACGCGACTCTTTAGAAGCGTATCCTGTCGCATGAACTTAAATCTAGATTTAAGATCGCAACTGACGTCCTTCTGAGACGTCGTGATGCCTAACTTCAACTAGCGTCATCCCTTCCCATGTGAATCCATAAATGGATACCACATTCACGAGGGTGGATCACGTTTGTGTATCGCACCCAAGTGACAGGTCAAAAGTAATCATGGATACTTTTAGACCAAACATTAAGTATATTACTTAATGTTTACGTGTCACCAGATACCCTGTTAGACTTACCACTTAAAATTTTGATCAGTGACGCTTGCTTCATATTCACGCAGGTTGGGCTTCGGTTTAACATGTATGTAGCCTACCACATCGCGTCGCCACAGAGGGAAAATGCCAACCGCTGGCAGAAATCATGCACCGTGCCACATTGAGCACTGCCCTGCGCATTCGTTCTGCCTTTCCATTGGATGCTTAATTGACAGCTTCGATCATGTGTGTGGTCACTCCAATCGACTTATAAAGCATGTCGACGTTTCGGTATTCACTACCGCCTCCGTTCTTAAGATAGCACCTTAAAATTGCTAAAAGAAAGCAAGAAAGCGCTCAAACAATTCTGCAGTCAGTTCCTTCTTATGCATAATAAAAACACTACAGTAATTGTTAAAAGCGTCACCAACAAAGTTAAAGATATGCCTGTTTTCACATCTGTCCTTCGGAGTCATAGGACCTTTCAGGTCGCTCTAGATGATGCCGTCGACTCGATCAATTGAGGAGTGCATGCTTCTTAGGACTTTGAATTCTTCGACTGTTCTCCATGAGCACAGGTGATGCAGCATTGCCGCTTCCTATTGGTCGGCTTATTACCCAAGCCTTCACCGTCCGTCATCTTCTCATACATGAGATGCCCTAGGCACTTGTGCAATTTCAAAAGCATGCACTTCCCCGATACACCAATTTCGCTTTTTAGTATCTGCAGCGAGTAAGGACGTATACACCACCTCGTTCCTTTTCAGTGTAGCCTCTTTACTCCGTGCAAACCCAATCAATATGCTGTTCTCCTTTTCAGCCTCGAATACTCGTGATCCATCACTAGTATACTTCAAATAGCGGCGTCCGCCTTCGTAGCTCAGTGCAACCTCCTTCTCTTCAAGTTTACAGTACAAAAGTAAATTATGCGAGAGTCTCTTTGGATAATAGACGCTGATCGTTGTAACTCCATCCACAGTGGTTTGCAACGTGACTTGACCCACCTTCGTAACTTCAATAGCTCGTCCATCAGAAAGGTTACATTCGTCCATGCAGTCGGCCACATCGGCAAGCATTCTTTCGTATATGCTAGGATGCCAACTCGCGCTACTATCGAGGATCCAGGTCTGCTCCCGACCACCAAGATCCGAACCAATACTAAAAGCAAATGCCGCCTGTGTCTCCATTGGTTTGTTCTTGCACTCTATCTTGGTATGACCGAGATATATACATCCCCAGCATCATCGTCCATCTCCAGGCGCCAGTACTTCCGCCATAACATTAGCATCGCGTGCATTATTCCGTCCATCAGGAGGTTGTCTCCCTCTACTCACCACATGTGCACTGACGAAGTACATCATCTCCCACGCCTGCTTGAGAAATTTAGTGCGGCGACAATCAAGCCGCATTTGCATGGCTCATATCACATCTGGCGTAGCATATTTGTAACTGTACTGAAGCAAAAGCGGATTTGTACAGCTCGCCGAGCTTGCCACGGCGACCATGTACTGATACTGTTCCGTCCAGGACCGATCGCTCTGCTAATGAACCCGCATCGATCGTGTAGCTTGCTTCCTAGTTGTCTCTTTCTATAACAAATCTTACATCTTGCTCATCAGATGCTCAACCGTAGCACTGTCGACACCCAGGCTTCTTTCGTCTTGTCGAGATGTTCTCTTGCAATATTTTTTTTGAAACACCCAGTAAGGGCTCGCATCTTGTATTATCTGGCCGTCCGCCGCCGCTGAGGCGTTAGTCAGCGCCGAATCATCGAAAACATAAAGTTGCCAAATCGGCTCTGTGGTGTCTTATAGGGGGGGGGTACCCCGATGTCGCGTATGGGCCTTCTCTCATCTTGTGTACCCGTCGTCTGGCGGGTTGCAATCTTCGGAAGACGCGGTGAGGATGTCGAGTCTGCCACGAAAGAGGTAGACCTGGGGGCCTCGAGTGGATATGCTTCTCTCAGTGAGCTGGTAGGTGGCCACTCGATCGACCTAGTCGAGAGTGGGCTTAGCATCAAATTATTCAGGGAGATTGTCTTTCCTGGCCTTTTTCTTGTTAGTCTAAGAGGTGTTGTTCTACTGGCCTTTGCTTTGCTTTGGACCGTGAGGTGAGGGAGACCGCTTTCGATAGAGGGTCTTTGGGGGGGGCTACTCGAACAAACACACAGGCCAAATACGTCCTGAAATTCTATTCGCACTTGAACTTAGCCCCACGACTGTCTTTAACGGGGGGGGGCCAAACTGTATTCCTTTCCGGAACAGGTGGGTAGCTTAGAGCAAGCTCATTGAGAACGACAAAGTCGTGCCACGTAGATCGCAAAATGAGTACTAATAAATATAGTCCTATCCTTTAAATTCCTTCACTCTATCCTTGCCTTATGCCCTGATTACTTGTGTTGACTGGTTCTGATTCCTTGTGCTGAACGGTAGGAGTGGCTAAACTTCGAGGGACCCAGGTCTACCAGTGAGGGACAAAGGTCTACCGATGTGGGACCGAGCCTAGCAGTGAGTTAACGAGTCGTTCGCTGAGTTAACGAGTCGTTCGCTGAGTTAACTGGTGTCTCTTAGTGATAGACTTTAGCTTATTTTTCAATAGTACCGGTACACGTCGCTAGTACTCATGACTTTGCATCATTTTGAAACGGTTATGGCTCGTCTTTTTACGTTAAAATTGTAGAGTAAGGCTCCGCAATTTAAATCCACTTCGTCCGCCCACGAAGGGCCAACATGTTCCTTCCAACGCACGAGTAGTTCTCGTTGCTGCCGCCTTCTTACCTTTGCGACTTTCCATACTTCTTCGACCTCATACTCGCTTTCCTCCAGTTCTCGCACCCAGCTATCTTTTGGTAATAACCATTCGTCGAAATCGAACCGGTCCGCTCTGTCTATATCTAGCTCGCTGCTAGATCGATCGTGGAACTCTTTGACAGGCTTGGCGTGGAGATGTGCACGATTGGTAATTGTCTGTATTTCATGCCTCGTAGTTCCAAATGTGCCGCATAATATCTGACTAATTCCAGAACTCGGAATTGTCCGTGCCAGAGGTTGACCAATTTCTTTGCGTACTCCTCCTTCACTCGGTCTAGGTATAGCCAAAAATGGGTACTGGCTGAAACTAGTGGTAGACTATCCCTTCATTATGCGCTTGCACCCGAGCCTGACTAGCCGCTCGTAGGTTCTCGTTGAATTGGTCCCTTGCTCGCTGATAATGGCTTTAAATTTGATATCGCCATCTCCGAGGTCCTGCTTCTCGACGTCTAGTGTTCACCACTGATAACATGGTTTCAAGGGTAGACCTAGCAATCCAACCATGAACCAAACTAAACGGTGTTTCTTCCGTACTCGGTTTTGTGCCGTGTTTAGCGCGAACGTCAAACGTTCCGCATGCTTATCCCAGTCTCTGCCCCACGTCGGACAAATACATCTTGATGGACCTCGTCAGAGTCTGGACCACCCTCTCCGCAGTACCGTTCGCTTGAGATCGGTAGGCCATAGTCGCTCTCTGAAGTTGGACCACCATGCGACTAAACGCTCGGAAGAAGTCCGGCATAATCCTGGCTCCCGATCGTGACGGATCGCCACACTGGCTTCAAAACGGAAAAAAACATCTTTTATACCCCTCGGCTACTGTCTGGGCCGTTCGTTTAGCACTAGCTTTGGCTATCACATAGCTGGTAAACAGATCGACCCGATCAGCAGCACCGTATTTTCCTTTATACGACTTGGGACGAAATAATAGATGGTCCATCGCGATGATTTGGAAAGGGGAACGTCGCTTCAACATTCCTTGGAGTCTTTCCTTGTAAGGTAGGCCTACCTTTCTTAGTCTCACAATCCATAAAAATTCCCACGTATCTCTGGACACTCTGAAACAGATCTCTCCAATGACAGTATCGCAAGATTCGATGGTAGGTATGTCCTATCCCATTATGGCCACCCTCCAGACTTGTGTGGTAGTGATGCAGGATGTCGGCCTGTAGACTCTTGGGTGCCACCAATGCATTCACCACCATGTCTTCTTCCTCGATTCGCTGGCCGAGACGATAGGCTAGTAATCATTCTTCGCTTATCGCCGTCACCGGACATTTTACTGCAAGTAAGAGCCAATTCCATAGACAGATCACCCCAGTCTCCCTTCAAATATGCCTTTAACTCTCGTGCCTAGCTATCTTCTTCTTGCGCCTCTCGAATTAGGTCCAACCGGAAAAATTATGTCACGTCTTCTTGCATAACTTCTCCATATATTTCTGACCGGGGACCGTGACCTCGTCACCGCGGATATCTTAACAAACGGACTCCGTTTTTTAGGGACTAGCACCTCTGGAAACCGATTGATCGCTTCTAGGTCTGGCCACTCTCATTATGGTATCGACTTGATTCATTTTTGCTGGTGTAAAGCACCGCTGGCCAACTAGTACGCGCTCTAATTTCAGTCTCGTTTCACATGTAAGACTACATGAGAGGGTCACGACTGGAGCTTGCTCAACGCATTTGCCCGTAACGAGGATATTAATGAAGCCTTACACTAGATACCTCCAAGCATCTGTCTTACAACCAAATTGGAATAATTATCGCTGATCAGCCTTTGTCGATACAAGAAATTTAACAAGTAGAAATCTAATAACAAAACTTGTTACTCGACCTCATTCACTGTAGATTTATCAAGGTACTTCGATACAGCTTCGACTAAAGTCCATGCAGGAAGTCTCCATACAAAAGCGCTGAAGACGCCTCCCCCTTGCTTCACACGGGCCGACCCATCTAAACTCATCACATACAGTTCTTCTTCAGATTCCACTGTGGGCGTAGGTAGGTCGATCGTTTGTCTGGCTTGCTTCTTAGGAGCAATTGACGACAAAATTGAGTCCACGAATTCTCGAAGCGTTATACTGACTGCCAACGCTCCCAGTACTTGACCTTCGCTTTTCTTGCACTTCACAATCTCCAACGTTCACTGGGACAAAAGAGTGGCCCAATTTCCCAAGCGACCTTGCAACAGATCTAACTAGCCAAGCTTTATGTAGAATGTATCGACAGGACCTTGAGGGGTCTGGTGACCAACATCGTGAAACAGGTCTCCAAAATTGGTAACAACGCCAAAACTTCTTTTCCACTGTACTATAGTTCACTCGTTGCCTTAAGGGTCCGACTCGTGAACATAACCGGCATAAGCAGGCCGTCATAATTCTGCACCAATGACGCCTAGATGGCCCATTCACTTGCGTAGACAATAATAACTGCCTCTCTAGCCGGGTCGAAATGTCGTAGAATGGACGCTGTAGCAATCTTGTTCTTGAGCATGGCAAACGCTACTTGTACCTTCGACCATTTTTCTTCGTTTTCCTCCTTGGTCGTCACTTTATCGTTAGCCTTCAATTTGCACCTCCAAGCGTAAAAATCCACCTCTCTCAATTCATAGAAGATCGACGCGTATACGACATAATCCTCGATCTATCTACTGTATTGATCAGGCTTTTAAGAAACGATTGCATAGCCTTCAGCGTTGTCGATAAAGGTAGGTCGACCAAAGACTGAAGATCTTTTGGGTGGGCCTCTAGTCCCCCTTTGGAAACTCGATGTCCAAGATACTCGACCTTCCGACATCCCCACGTACTCTTGACTGCACTGATCGACAAATTTTAATATTCGAGTCGCACACGCCTAGCAACCGCTCCACTTTCTAGCATAATACATACCACGATTCGGCAGGAACAAGTATATCGTCAATGTATGATCGTCAACCAAAAACGAGTGACCAGATTTTTTTCCCCCGGTCTCCCCATCGCAAACAAATTTTCTAATTCATCTGGGATGGTTCCTGGAGAAACTTGTTACACCCATATAAAGCATTATCCAACAGTCGCTGGTATATATGAGGTGCGTTTTTGAGACCAGATAGCATCCGAAGGCTTTCAAATAATTCCAACGGCGTAACGAGCGCCGAGATTAGCCCCGCTCTCTCCGTCATACTGACGACATAAAAACCACTCGCTATGTCAAGAGAACAATACCATAAAGCTCCGTCCAGTTCTTCCAATAATTCGCTATTAAACAACATGAGGTAGACCATCAGCTGAGTGAGATCATTCACCAACCGATAGTCGATGCACAACTGGATGGCCACCCCATTTTTCAATACAATAATCACAATTAAGCTGGCCCTTGGGGATGTGGATGACTGGATAATCTTTGCTGATAGATGTCCCTTGATCAGGTCGGCTAACTTCTTTTTAAACCGAGGGGCCACCTTCCGTATACGTTGCGCGATCGGTCTCGAATTTTCCACATCAAAGTCACATATAACCCCTCGAACGGCTGGGGGCAAGGCGTTACCTTTCTCCATCAACATAACGCTTTTTTCATATTATTTGTCTTAGCCGGTACACCTCTTTAGAAATATTTCCCTTCGGATCAGGAATATGTATGTCTTTTAACTCAATACCTTCGGGTGAAGGGTCCGCTTCTGGTATGATATCCCATCCTTATTTTATATCCTCGGCCCAAAGTTCCCCCCCCACTCTAAATTACACGCCTGGTCGTCTGCCTATGACGAGTCTATAAGTTTTCCGTCTCCTCATTGGTGGTGGTCATTGTATGTCGGTCTTCCTTAGATGTAATTCATTTGTGAGAGGTCTCTTCCCGTAGATGCACGTTTTCTTCGCAGGTTGTCCTTCTTTCTCGGGTGACTGTTGGTGTATCATATTAATCCTTGGGACTAAATCCACTGATCGCTGTAAAATGCGTGACGAAGTCTAATACTCTGGTCTCTTCACTAGTGGCACCTCTTCCTCCTTTGTTAATTCGACCTGATGGTCAAATTGGCCAGTGGTAGATTCATATACCAGATTTAGCCATTCAGAATACCTTCGAGAGCCTACTAAGACGAAGCTTGTCTCTAGACACTTGATCTTTGGTCAACCACATATCTATTTTGGTGTCCTCGTGCAATATTAAGAGGCGAGGACTGACGTTCGTTATCTTAAAAAATTGTCGACGTCCTACCCCTTAGATCGTGGTGGCCACCCACCGTTCTCCTCTCGTGAACCACATTTTCTACTGTTCCGAAATTTACCTTTTAAGAGGGACCTCCGCACACCCCTCAACAGTATCTGTACATACTGACCCAGCTTCACGTCTGATACTCTGGTATCATGAAGCGTCCTTCGCCCGGTCAATTGCACTCGAGCTTCATCGGGGAGACAGAGAGTTACTTCTGCCAAGTCTAGCCGGATGCCGGCTGGGACCATGAAGTCCACCCCCAGAATTGCGTCTTGACCCACCATAGTGCCTACCCACACCTTAAAGATGTACACCAAGTTCCCATCTAAAGTGATCTTGATGCGAGTGCGCCCCTCCGTAGTGTATACAGAATCCCCAATGCCAATACATTCTTGTCATTCACTTTCATCAATTTGGCAACCTAACTTACGAGCAAAGGCAATATCTAGGATGGATATCGTCACCAGTATCGAACAACCAATTTGCATGGTCATTGTTGACCTTTCCAGAGGCTTTCGCTTGCCTGAACCATATAGTGGGAGCGTGGTATTTCCAGTACCACCTGGAATCGCTCGGCAATAGGTCTAACTCCATCGCTGCATTCTCTCGAGCAAAAATATTAGGCTTATTCAAAGAAACAACATGGACCAAAGGGTAATTTTCAATCTAGGTATATTTCCAGCCTAAACTGGCATACCCGTCTCCTCCTTGGAATGTTTTCCGCATATGCAAAGACACAACAATTAGACCGCTTGGCTGGTACCAGATTTAAACCTGGCGAGCGTCCTAATTTGCCATCTTCTCGAGCTTTTCCGGGAACATTCCTGCAAGCTTGGTCGAATTATACCATTTACGGAACAAATTGTAAAACTTCTCCATTTGGCATTTCTTATCTCGTAAATCCCTCCACAACCTCGGCACACAAACAGGCAGCGATCAGACGGGTAACCCTTCTTTTCACAGCGGTCGCAGGTCAATCATTTCCAACAATTCAGATCTCCATGTTTCTTGGACCTACAATAAGCACATCTCGTGTTTGAGACCGCTGACGAAGGACCGTGTCCCTGATCTCCTACCTGTCGATTGTTCGGCATCCCTAGTCGGAAAATGTTTATAAAGTCTCACATCTACGTCTTCCCCAGCTTCCTTCTCCATTTTGTAGACTAGCCTAGACCCATTTCGTTTTTCAAAGATTTTTGGCTATAGTCTTCAGAGCTCGAGTCGTCCAGGGACGACCGAACTGCATGTATAGAACGGCTGTAATGGGGAAGCCTATTACATAAATAGTTATAGGAATAATACATAAGTACATAAGTAAACATAGGGCTGTATTCGATTAGCGGATACTGCGCGTCATTTTATTATTGGTTTATTAATGGGGTGCCAGACCCAATAATTAGCCACTAATAAATTGACTTCCATATTGAGTGGTTCCTATGAGCTAGGGAACATATTCGCACTTAATGCGAATTAAAACTAAAATTAAATAAAACAGAGTTATATTTACGCGATAACTAAGAGCGCTTCCTCAACGCCCTTTTAGTGTAAGACGGTAACGGTTCCTTAGCCCGTTACACCTGGTAGCACTTCGTAGTCCTTCCAATGACCAGATTCGAGATGAACATGGACGAGTCTTCGGTGGCTCCAGCGGTCTCGCTGGAGCATTATGAATACCCCATCTCACCTCGGTGGAGTGGCAGGCATAACACCGCCTTGCGGCGTTATCTGGTAAAACCATTGTGACGTCGCCGCTGAGCAAAACGGCGTCCGATGATCAACGCACCGCCATCCAAGACTTTATGGTGCGCGAGCTCGCCGAAGCGAATCGGCAAGTATTGACTCCCTCGTGCACTTCGCACCATGACGATATCAAGATGGAGACGTCAACGTACTCCAGTGATGGTCCGGATCGTCTCCCCCTTAATCGCTGGTTTCTGCGAGGTGGATATTGCAATCGCGTCAAGATTCATTGACGCTCCGACGGCCAAGGTCAATTTCCTGTTGTCTCGGCTTGTTGGCAAATCCAAGGAATGGGACCTCGGAAAGATCGTTGTAGATGAGTCGGCGTTTCCTACGCTGGACGATCCAGCGTGACTTACTACTGGCTTTAAAGCCTCCTCAAGATGAATCTCGCTTGCGTGCCGATTTCTTCTCACTCCGACAGGGCAAGCTGTCGATGCGTGACTACGTGCAGAAGACACGTCATCTTGCTTCGTGTATTACCACGCAGCCAATTGACATGGCTTCAAAAGTCCATGTCTATTTTTGGTATGCAAGAGGGCATGACGCGTTACTGCCTCACACGTGCTGAACCAAAGTCCTTCGAGGAGGCATTTGCCCTCGCGCTTCGTGAAGATTACACTGTCGCGTCGTCGTACCTGCACGCAGCGTCACAACATCCCCGGACGTCTGACCCAGAACCAATGAAAATTGATGCAATCGAGTCCTCTGGTCGCGTCAAATCATTAAGCCGCGCATTCGCAATCCTAACACGATGAAGTAGTAAAACAGGCCATCGTGCGGCTGTCTGTCATCCACCTGCGCCGGTGACTATGAACACAGATGTCTCACGAGGAGACGCTGTGTCGTCGGTGGTCCCGCCAAATAAGAGCGGTTCCAGTAGGCGTGGGGCGCCCTACTGGCAGAAATGGAGCCCACAGTACTCAGGTGGCAGCTCGGGCTCCTAGCCCCAAAGTGATTCATACCCACTTCAATGCCACCACCATGCGCGATGATTCGAGACTGATTATTATCAGTCTCATCGTCGCTGGAGTGAAGCGACCACTTCGGAAATTGTTGGATTCTGGCGCTTCCAACAACTTCTTTCGTGCATCCTGTTGGTCACTTCTCCCGTCAACTGTCACGGTTCGAGAAGGTCCAGGTGACATCGTTGTCAAACTTGCCGATGGACAACCAAAACGTGTCCCGCGTAAAACAGTGGTTTTACCGTACACTTTCGACGGTTTCCAGAGCAACGACGAATTTTTGGTGTACGAGATGAACTATGCATTTGATTGCATACTTGGGATACCGTGGCTGTCACGGTATCAGCCGAAAATAGATTGGCTATCTCGGTCCGTCAAACGACGAAGCGGTTATGACGTCAGTGAAGTGTTTACTCATTTGTTGGTCGCTTCATCCGATTGGCCTCACGTCAGGGTCGTGAACGAACTCGCCACGACTAGTAGTCAACACAGAGAGAGCGATGGCCCTCTGTGCGTAGTATGTTCCGTTACACTGACGGAGCCACAGAACGAAGCGGTCGAACAGCGGTTCCCGCATACACAGACATCGGTCGAACAGGGGTTCCCGATGCACAACGAGGCGGTCGAACAGCATTTCCCGCACACATAGACATCGGTCGAACAGGGGTTACCGATTCACAACGAGGCGGTCGAGCAGGGGCTCCCGCATACAAGCACATCGGACGAGCAGAGGCTCCCGATCAATTTTGAGGCGGTCGAGCAGGGGCTCCTCAGATTAATATCGAGGCGGTCGAGCAGGGGCTCCCTCAATACAAGTGAGGCGGTCGAAGAAGAGCTCTCGCTTTTGAGTGACGTGAATGGGCGGACTATGGATCCGCATGAGACCGACGTGGTGAAGACAGAGCTCCCACGTCTAGAGGGGGTACATCATCCCCTTGTGATAGCGACGTGCCAGTCTCGAGCAGGGGCTCGAGACGCAAGAGAAAACGCAAGAAAGGAGCATGCCGATCACCGAGACGACGAAATTCACGTCAACATGCTGATGCATTTGATTCCGTAGTGACGGAATCCGTATGCGCTCTTGAATATGTGGAGGGATCCCCACATCGTGGCCGCTACATTTAGGTAGAGAGAACACCGTGCACTGCTGCAGATATCACATCTCTGCCAGACCTTGCATGGAAAGACTTCCTTCATGACCTCAAGGCCGGCGACATCGAGCAAGTGTGCATTGTTTCAGCCACCGAAGCAGCCAGTGAAGAAGTTCTGGAGTCTCGCTCACAAAGAGCCGAGCCTAAATCAGTGCGCGAAGAACGCTTAGCGGCACGGTCTTGGGATGCTCTTCGTGCTTTGTGCAACCCTGTCTACGATATCGCCCGTGAGTACGCCGATATTTTCCCGGAAAAAAATTCAGCTGAGCTTCCAGCGGATCGTGGAGTGCGGCACGAGATAGATCTCGTGCCAGGATCGAAATACTGCGTGAAACGGCAGTGGCCGTTACCGCGCGACCAAGTAATCGCTATTGATGAATTTTTCGAGGGTCGTCGCAAGGCTGGCCATGTCCGCGAGAGTATCTCGCCACATTCGAGCCCGACTTCTGTGAGAAGAAAGCCACCGGCGGTTGGCGCATTGTGCACGCCTTCAACAAGCTGAATGATGCCACGATCCCGGCTCAAACGCCTATACATGATACCGAATACCATGTCCGGGAGCGAGATCTACAGCGCCATAGATCTGACAGACGGTTTCTATCAGATCCTCATGAGCGACAGTGACATTCCGTTCACTGCGGTCAGCACCCTAAGCGGTATGCTTTGTAAGTGGCTAGTCATGCCACAAGGCCTTAAGAACGCTCCAGCTACGTTCAATCGGATGGTGACACAAGTACTTCGCCCACTTCGTGACTTTGCACCGAGCTACTTGTCGACATTTTTTCTCACAGCCGCGCTGAGCAAAAGCTCAACGCTACGAAGGTACACCTTCGACACTTGAAGCAGGTGTTTCAAGTTATGCGCGAGAATAAAATGTATGCGAATTTGAAGAAATGTGTCTTCTTCGCTTCCGAGATTCTAGTACTCGGTTGCTACGTCAGCAAGGAAGGTGTCCGCGCTGATCCTGAGAAGATCTCATCGATCTGTTCCTGGCCAACACCCAGGAACCAAACTGAATTACGTCAATGGCTCGTTCTGGCGAATTACTTGCATAAGTATACGAAGAACTATTCTGAGCTAATTCAGCCATTATCGAATTTGCTCAAGAAAGATGGAGTATGGTTATGGGCGGCAGAACATCAATCTGCCTTCGACTCGTAAAGAAGATCTTGTCCGAGGCACCGAGGCTGATGATACCTGATTACTCCAAGCCATTCCACGTCGTATGTGACGCGAGCAATTTTGCTATAGGATGTGCCCTCATGCAATTTGATGACGAGGGTCGATAGCGCGTCGTGAGTTTTTAATCACGACAGATGAAACCTGCCGAGAAAAATTATCCGGTACACGACAAGGAACTTTTGGCTATGCGTTACGCGCTAATCAAATTTAGAGTATATTTGCTCGGCGAAAAGATGTTTTCTATCTACAAAGACCACGCATCGTTGCGAACCGCCGTCAAGAGCCCTCACTTGGCCCAGCGTATGGGATGGTGGCTGTCATTTTTACCGAGTATGATTTTGTGGTGCATCATAATCCAGGCAAGAATAATATTCTCGCTGACGCGCTTTCTCGTCCTGATTACAATCCTCGGCGCGACATAGGTCATCAACAGAAAATAAGAGTGACGACGATGATATCTGTGCATGTTGTATTGATCTGGGACTTAATGCGATGATTTCGACCCCCGTGCTTTCGATCCGAACTCAAATCGCTGAATCCTACGCGAATGATTCCTTCTATGCAGGAATCATCAACTATCTCAGAGACCCGAGCGAAATATTACTCGCGAAGCTGACGAAACCAACACGCGACAACATCAATCATTACGCGCTTGACGGTCCGTTGCTGACGTACACGATGGACGTCTTTGATTCACCGCGTGTCGTCATCCCTGCTGATGACTACATTCGAGCCCGATTGGTTCATGAATTTCACGACAGCCCAGCTGGCGGATACCTGGGTCGCGAAAAGACGTTTGCAGCTATTTCTCGCGTATTTTCTGGCCGCTAATGTATAAGGACATCCAGAATGGGTGCGCTCATGTGAAACCTGTCAGCGTGTGAAGCCCGCGCCGTCTTCACAAGCCCCATTGCGTCCGCTTCCGATTGCTACGGAAGCCTGGCGCTCGGTCAGCATGGATTTTATCTTTGGCCTTCCACCGGACGAACAGAATCGCACAAGCGTATTGGTTCTAGTGGATCGATTCAGCAAAATGGTGCATTTTGCTCCAGTCTCCACCAACATTACGGCGGAGACGACAGCGTAGATCTTTATCGATCTTATCTTCAGGCATCACGGCTTGCCAGAATCTATTGTTTCAGACCGTGATCTGCGTTTCACTTCGGCTTTCTGGGCCGAATTATTCCAGCTATTAGGCACGCGGTTGCTTATGTCTACGGCGGCCCATCCAGAGACGGATGGGCAAACGGAGCGTGTGAACAGAGTGCTCGAAGATGTCTTGCGCAGTTATGCAACATCGTTCTCATCATGGAGTTCATTTCTTCCACTTGCAGAGTTTGCAATCAACAATGCTGTCCATGCGTCAACCGAGTTGACGCTCTTTTTCATAGCGAAACTCGAGGCATCCTCGCGTTCCGGCGCTACTTGCTCTCTCAGCTTCAGAGCACCCTGTCTTAAATCTTGGTGGGGGAGTATCTACGGATGGAATTGCGCCGAAACTATTGATGATTGATTACGATGCGAATAAGGTTGCTGCCGGCGCACCTGATACTGGCAATTTCGTGTCCAACGGCATATCAACTCCTGACGCGATGCATTCCATCGCGTCTCCTGTTGCTAATTTTCCCCCAAAAGCGAATACGTCGCCTGTAAGTTCGGCTGCAGTAACCGAATTTCTGCTATTACGACAAGGAACCACGCGTTTTGTGCGTGATGCATTACAAGATTTAGTCGACAAGCAAAAGGAGAATGCAGACAGAAGAGGTCGAAAGAATATGTTGATATTCCGAGAAGGTGACAGAGTATTTTCATCAACAAGTGGATTACCGAACACCTCAGTGACGAATTTGGGCGCTAATAAGTTAGCGCCAAGATATATTGGCCCATTTCGAGTTGTTAAGGTGCATGATGACGCTTACACGCTAGACATACCTACATCTATGCGTTGCACCCCACATTCTATATCGGGCGCCTCAAGACTAACCTACCGGCGGATCTTCCTTCGAATCTTCCTCGCTCTTCTGTGCCGGCTCAAAATCCGACATCCCTTGACGACATTGACGACGATTGGGACCAATTCCTGCCCAAAAGCGTGTAGACTCGATCTACTGGGGTCCTTCGAACGCAGTCGTCTCAAATTGACGTAGGCGCTCAACCAGTACCCGCTGCTCACGTCGAGTCCGCCCAGCAGCCTCAGTTGCAGCATTCGCACGATCTTGAGCTCTCTCAGCCATCTCGCGAGCATCAAGTAGGGCATTCTTCGACTCCTCGGCTTCAGCGCGAAGTAGGTGCAGCTCATCATTCGACTGTACAGGCGCCCGATTGTGAGAATCGGCGCTCATCGCCAGAGGTCTTCCGTCGTGATGCTCCTCCTCCCTTAATTGATGCATCGGGTGCGCGACGCTGGATTGTCGACCTAATTGTCGATCATGACGATCATAAGTTTTATGCGCCAAGTAATGGCTCGGCGCCCATGAAGAGGCGTGTCGAGAAACATTACAGGGTTCACTGATTAGGATATTCGCCGGCGGACGATACATGGGAACCTCGAAGTATGCTGGCTCAGGATGTACCAGACGTGGTCGAGGATTATGAATCGCATACAGTAATAAGACGGCGTTCCTATGAGCTAGGAAACATATTCGCACTTACTGCAAATTAAAGCGAGGGAACACATTCGCACTTACTGCGAATCAAAGCAGAGCAAAGATAAAACAGAGTTATATTCATAAGATAAATAGAAGCACTTCCTCAGCGCCTTTTTAGTGTCAGAAGGTAAAAAGTCCTTATCCCGTTACAGCGGCGGTTTATGTATCTCGGTATCTTTGAAGGTGCGGGTGCCTTTTGACGAAACTTGTTTGATCCAAACAACATCTTGCGTCGTCGCGCTTTCGTCCGTTGACATGCTGTCACTACTTCCTATAATTCTTTTTCATCTGCCAGACGGAACATGTTCAGATTGTCCGATAGCTTCGGGTCGTCTACCGTCAAAACGTAGTGATCGACATGATTCTTTTGAGCCTTGGGCGACCCATCTTTAATCTTCATCTTCGCCCTGAGTCCAATCACATTCAGGCGGTACAGAATAATCCAGCGGGGTCTCGTCCGACCTTTTCTTTTTATGGTAATACTGTCGGATAATAGGTAACCCCGTACGACAGAAACGTATCATGAATTATTGCACTAAGTCTTTCCAGGTTCCTCGGACTGAGCGACCCAATTGACGGTACCAGTTCTGTATTGGCCCAGTCAGCAATTATCCAAAAACAAGACATCTTTCGTCATCTGGTGCTTGGTACTTTCATAAATACTGTCTTGACCGTCTATACTCAGCTGCGCGCTCTATCTTCGTCTTGGTCAATCCCATGGAACTCTTTAAGATCCGATGTCGCTGAGAGTTTATGTGAGGGACCATGTTTGGTTTCTGCCCAGCGCGGCATTCGCCATCATCGACTGAGGTCTATCAAATCCATGTTGTCAGGGTCGTACTCACAAGGGCCGACTGATTCCATGTCTACGTTTGTCATGTTATGATCTTGGCCTTTGTATGCATGTGCTCTAATTGTGTTGAGCGGTCGTCACTTGATCCCCTGGTCTTCCTCTGGCCACACTCCCATAGGGTGTGCCTGCGGTACTTAATGCTCCTGCAAAAATCTTTTCATCGCCGCGTCGAAAAGGTCCTGTAGATCACCTACCGAGTTAGTAGGCGCTCCCCCAGCATATTCTCCACGTGGCAGCAAAATCCAATCTTTTCTTGCTGATTTTTTGTTGGCTGAAAAATTGGAATGATCTTTCATTTTGCCACGCGTCACCGTTTTAGGAGCTTGCGGTTACTGCTCCGCGTTGCGCGCTCGCGCTTGAAGCAGCGCCGCACCTTTCGGTCCCAGGGGCATCCTAGTCACTGAGACAGTCGAAGATGATCCTTATGACCACTGCCCTGATGCGATTTGGTCGCTGGCGGCAGGTGTTGTGGTGGACCTTGCCTCGCCCATAGATATCCAGTCTTCCCATACATCTAAGGGTGGCATGTTATGCCTTGAAGGGCTATTTGAATGTTTCTGGACGATGCTTGCATGTATTTCGTCAGAAGTAAGTGTATCTTTGCTGGTGTGGTACCGACGAGGATCGCTAAGCATTTGTGCAATTTCTCTAACGTCGTTGTGATTTTGTCGAACTCCGGGGAGAGCAAGTCGTCCGGATCAAACCTTCCTGCGACCTTGTTTGCTTTCCGAAGAAGGGTACCCAGTGCGGTGATACGCGTCTATTACCGTCTGCAACCGTGACAGGATCGACACCAGTCCACTGAGCTGTCGAAGCAGCTGAATCGCAAGAGTCTTCGCGACGGGGTCGTTTTCAAGAATGCGCTCAGCTTACCTTGGTGGTATGCCTTCGTAACGTCAGCTTCCGACCATGATGACAGTCCGAACTTCTCGGAGCCTTTCGACTTGGTATTTTCTGGAGCCCTTATCTGATACTTAGTCGGCTTGGACTGCGCGATCTTTATTTTTTGTTTTTATGGGATCTTAGCCTCTCGGTTTTCACCATTGGCTAATGTTCCTCTAGGTATTATGACCCAAAGTGTCCTCTACGAGGCCATAGGGAGAATATTTAGGTATTTCTTCTATAAGTTTAACCTGGACCATATTGACCAGGCCCTTCCAAGGGCCGGTCAGTCCTTCGATTCTTTGTTTGTTTTTTCATTAGTCACTGGCGATCGTTCTTTAAGTGTCTCTTCGATTTTGCGCTCATTCTTGACTTGAACATCGTTATCTTCTTGGGACTCGCGGCGATATCCTTCGTCTTCCGAAGATCCGGACACGTGAATGTGGTAAAGTGCCAAGAAAGTTGGAATTTAAGAAAAATGGAACAGAGAGCAAGAGAAGTTCTGGTCACTTCCCCGAGGGAGTGACCACGACCCGGCTTCGAGGATTTACAACCACACACCAGGCCCCGCCGTATTAAGAATATAAGGACCCATACGTGCGGAGTCAGCACAGGCCCCAGGGGCCCAGGGTCCCAGAGGCCCAGAGGTACAGGGGCCCAGGGGCCCAGGGTACAGGGACCAGGGGTACAGGGGCCCAGGGGCCTAATGTCTGAGGGTGCAGAATCGGTACACAGAATATCGAAGATTACAGAAAGTGCAGGGTACCAAGGAGCCAGTCCTTCCTCCAAGAGCCGGCACGTGGCACTATCTAGATCAAAGGGTTAAGGTTAGGCAAGAAAAGCATACAAGGTATAAGATAAATAAACACACTCGAATTTGCATTATACGTGCCAGATTTAAGCGCCCCTCCTAAGCTTCTCCGTCGCTTCACCTCTTCCGGGCGGAATACCCTTTGGCCCCCCGACGTCCAGCAGGTGTTAGACGGCTCAAGCAACGCAAGTTGAACCTCAGGATAGTTGGCCTGAGGTGTCAAGTAAGGGTCAACACTCTACGACCCGCTACAGGAAGCGGTTTCCCTACGGGGAAGAACACAAAGGGGTCCAAGGACCAAGAACAGTCAGCCACCAAAGAGGTACATAGTACCAGGTGCATCACTCTCGACTAAGTCGATTGCGCCCAAGAAACCCGGTCCCAAGTGAAGTATATCCACTCGGGGACCACCAAGTCCAAGTCTTATACAAAGACCAAGTTTAAGTCTTCTACGTCAACCGAGGAGCAAGACCAGCCAAGCCGACGGGTACACAAGGTGAGACCCAAGGCCAATACGACACGGTATCGGGGTACCCCCTCCGTAAGTCGGCAGTCCGGCGCTGTGTGTGTTTGTGGATCTCCTACGTTGTTTGAGAATCCACACCACCACATGAACCATTGTGGCGGAGTAATTTTTTTAATGTTAAGATAAGACTCCAAACACTGAGCCGGACTGCCGACTGTCGGAGGTGGTACCCCGATGTCACGTATGGGCCTTCTCTCATCTTGTGTACCCGTCGGCTGGCGGGTTGCAATCTTCGGAAGACGTGGTGAGGATGTCGAGTCTGCCACGAAAGAGGTAGACCTGGGGGCCTCGAGTGGATATGCTTCTCTCAGTGGGACGGTAGGTGGCCACTCGATCGACCTAGTCGAGAGTGGGCTTAGCATCAAATTATTCAGGGAGATTGTCTTTCCTGGCCTTTTTCTTGTTAGTCTAAGAGGTGTTGTTCTACTGGCCTTTGCTTTGCTTTGGACCGTGAGGTGAGGGAGACCGCTTTCGATAGCGGGTCTTTGGGGGGGGGGGCTACTCGAACAAACACACAGGCCAAATACGTCCTGAAATTCTATTCGCACTTGAACTTAGCCCCACGACTGTCTTTAACGGGGGGGGCCAAACTGTATTCCTTTCCGGAACAGGTGGGTAGCTTAGAGCAAGTTCATTGAGAACGACAAAGTCGTGCCACGTAGATCGCAAAATGAGTACTAATAAATATAGTCCTATCCTTTAAATTCCTTCACTCTATCCTTGCCTTATGCCCTGATTACTTGTGTTGACTGTTCAGGAGTTTACAAATTAAATATAAAATTCCATGAATGACTAGTACATTGCCAGACCCGTTTTGGCCTCCGCCGGGGCCTCGTCAGTGGCTTTGCCAATTTACAAGTGAGAACCACTCGATCATCTCGTCTAAGACCCATAACATTCATAGAATCATCAAGAAGCCGTTACAACATTCCATAAATCCTAGAGTAGCTTGAAGCTCTGGAGTCGATACCAAGTAAAGCTTGCACTTTCCAACAAGGAGTGGCTGAACCTCGAGGGACCCAAGTCGACCGATGGTGGACCAAGGTCTACCACTGACGAGCAGGGTCCACCAATGAGGTAACGGGGTCTACGGTATACTACTGAGGATCCGGGGTCTACCATTGAGGGACCGTAGTCGTCCGACGAGAGACTAATTCTACCAATGTTGGACCGGGCCTTCCGATGAAGGACAGAGTCGACTTCTTTCGGTACCATTTTATAATACTTTAGTAATGATCTATCTGTTGCTGGTTGCTGGTCCTTCAAATTATTCCCAGCCAACGGTCTCTTGCCCACGTGGTCCCCTTTTTCTCCACTTCCTTTCTCTGTTGAGCGGTTCTTTGGTCCTTCCATCCAACTGGCCCCTAGATTCCTTACATTTTCGGAAAGCACTTCACCACACCACCATGTCCATGTCTGCAATAGTATATTACAATAGTACCAGCTCCTTTCTGATACTGAACATTTGGCAAAGATGCAAGTTTGTATCTTCTTTGGATCATAAGGTCATCTGACACAATACATTTACCAAGCGACGAATCGTGTAGGCCTTGGTCGCTTTGGTCTGTTAGCTCTCAAACAGATCTTACAACTGTCCACATTTCTGGTCCTGTCTTCTTGTCGCTAATTCGTTATAAATCTCTGGTGGCACAGAAGTACCTATCATACGCTTGAGCTGGACTTGTTGACGTTTAAACTCCTCCTGCGTCCCCGCAGTCGATGATTGCAACATCGCAACGGTTATTGTCCGTCTACGGTATTTTTCATCTTTTTCTCTTCGAACACTGTCATCATTTATTACTTAAATGTTTGCCAGTCTTATCCATCCCAATTTCGGGATTCCTTCACTGGTGTACTTCATCTTCTTGGTTGGACATGACCTTTCTTCCATCCGTCGTGATCCTTTTTCGACATTTTAATTGACTAGTTTTATCATTTTGGATTCGATCTCCATTCCAGTATTCAGCCCATACGTCGTGCTCATTATTCTGCATTCGGATTGGTAATTTGCATGAATGTGAGGAGATAAAAAACTAAAAATTCTAATTGGTTGATTTTGTATTAACGTTAGCAGATCTTTATAATAGAATACATTCCGTCCGACGGGTACATACCCTATGTAATGGGGCACCCTCCGACTATACTGATTACAGTATAGTCTACTTTCACTGATTACAGTGAAAGCAGGTGCCTCAATTACCTCTCTTACACAAGAGGCAGAGGAAGCTTTACTTCTAAACAAACGCTTAGAAGTAGAGGAAAAGAAAACTGTATTTAATATAGTTAACTATCTTAATAAAACTAATCTGTTATAACCTATGTTAACTATATTAAACTACAACTATGTATGTCGACAACTTGCCCTCCACTCATTGCGCGCGTCCCCATCGGTCATTGGTCAGCGCGTTAGTTGATATGATGGCCCATATCAACCAATGAGAGGGCATCTCCAACTTCAAGGAGATCTAGGAACAATATTATTAGAAAAGGTAATATTGTCAAAATATTATTAGTTATAATAATATTTTATTGACACTTCATATAAGTGTCAATATTATGTAACGGGCTCACCCCGTTACACCCTAGGCGGATAGAAGAGCTGCACAGGCTGCATGTTTCCTTGCACCGTAGACTAGGCTGAATTGTTTGGATAGATTGTTGATGCTGTGCCGAGGCTGCGGCATTCCAAATAGCGTTTGCGTATCCATCGCTTCACTCAGCGAGTCGGCTCTGGTCCGGGTCGCTTGGCCGTAAAAAACTGGCCAAAGACGCTTATATTGCTCCCCATTCGAGTGTCCGGGTCCGCGGGAGGTAACTGGTCCCGCACCTCACGTTCCCGCGCCAAATCGCGCATTAGACTCCCAATGAGTCCCTCAAGTCTGTTTAGGCATTCTGGAATTTGCTCATAGATGCTAGAGTCACTCGCTTGAGCGATCTCCCGCTATGACTTGCCGTCTCATCGACCACATCTGGACGAGTGATAAGTGGAGATACAAGCGGCTTTCGAGGGGCTTGGTCTGATACCTGTAATTTATCCGTGCTTGGTAGGTAAAAGGCAGATGAGAAGCTTATGTATAAAAGCTTATTTAGCGTAGATATCTCCTGTGTCCGTTACCATCGATCACCTCTTGATGGGTTCCCCAGAGTCGCTCTGCCTTACCGCTCTGCCTTCTCCGAGGATCGCAACCATTCAACCTCATGTGTCGTTTCAACAAATTCTGCTCAATGGTTGATGGTATCTTCATTGCCATAGTCAGTCATGTCAGTGCCAGATGCATGATCCTTTCACGTTGCATTCCTTTTTCTGACCAATCAGAGAACAATCTTATGTGGATTGTCAAGGTTTTATAACGCATCCGATACATAAATTACAAGTAAAACTTACAAGTATTTTTCAGCCCATTCCAAGCCAGCCATGCAAGATGAAGTGACGCAGCAAAAGGTACTGCGTCCTCGCCGTCACTCAAATCTAGACGACGACGATGATCCAACCAGTTACAACAATACGGAACCTGGTAGTAATTATGAGAATCGTAAGTGGAGTATGGAAGAGACAGTTGAAGTGGACGACGAGAACGAGGATCAATGGATTAGTAGTCCGCATACACTTACGGTCGGATTTTTGCTCATGCTTTGGATTATCTATGCTGCATTTCATGAACCTGTGGCTCAAATGGAAGATCCAAAAGAACAGTATACAGCTGATGTGAAACGGGGTATTAAATACGCCTGTGTCTTCTTCCTTACGTACTGTAGTCTCCAGCTACCGGACGGTCATTTTGTCCGTCCACATCCAATTGTATGGCGATTCTTAACGGGACTCTTTATCTTGTACGAGATCTTACTAATTGTTCTGCTTTTCTTAAGGACAAATGATGCTCGACAGTTTATGAAAATCTTTGATCCGAGTCTTGGCGTGCAACTGCCCGAGACATCGTACGCTGGAGACTGTCGTGTGTACACACCTGAGAATCCGAACTCGCACTTTGCTAATGTTAAGGCAACGTTCTTGGATCGGTTTGTGATCATGCACTTTTTCGGTTGGATTGTTGGGTCTATTATGGTACGTAGCAAGATGATCTCGTGGATTTTGAGTGTCATGTTTGAATTATACGAGATAACATTCAGTCACTGGTTGGCGAACTTTAACGAGTGCTGGTGGGATCACTTGTTCTTTGACATTCTTACGTGCAATGCGGCGGGAATCTACTTGGGGATCAAGATTTGTCGCTACTTTGAGATGCGCCGATTTAATTGGGTTGGCATCCGCAAGATTCCTAACTTGTCGGGCAAGGCGAAGCGAGCGCTGGCGCAGTTTACACCTGCGTATTGGATGGCATATGACTGGAAAATTTTCCGATCGGCCGAGCGCTTTTGGCGAGTGATGTCGATGGTGACGATCCTGTCGATCATGATGCTCAACTCATTCTTCCTCAAGACGGTGCTTTGGGTGCCTGCAAGTAGCAATGTTAACATTTATCGTCTTGCAATCTGGTACTCGGCTGGTAGCTATGCGGTGGCGGAATATTACATTTTCTGCTCTTTTACGATGACCTACGATGGCAAGAAGATGCTTGTGAAGAAGCTTGGCCCGCGTGCTTGGCTAGGCGTCGCTGTCGTTCTAACTGAGCTCCTTGTTATTTTTAAGCACGGCCGAGGCATGTTTACGGAGCCCTTCCCGCTGTACATTAAGCTCATCTGGGCAGCGATCTTTGCCGTACTCGTGGTTGGCTCCACGGTCTACTTCAAGTTTTTTAGTGAGCCGCTTGATGAGGAAAAGAAGACGCAATAGCACGATTAAGTAGCAACAGGAGTGCTGCGCCAAACCACCGCAACACTTATCGAGTGTCTTGAACTGATTACTTCCCGATTTCATAATAAACTAGCAGAGACAGGAAAGCAAACATGCATTCGTTATAAGTATAATAACTAGTGAATGTTTGTCAAGAAGAACTTAATGAGGCTGTAAGCTCGAGGGCACACCGAAACTTGGGGCACTCAAGTTGCGCATCGGCTTTGTCATTCTCCCCACTACTATTTAATCCTAATGGTGGAAAAGACGGAGGTTGGAGAAAGCCATGGTGATGCCAAACTCTTCGCAGGCGGCCTTCACATCACAATCGCGGGTGCTACCACCTGGCTGCGTGATGAACTTCACGCCCAGCTTCGTGGCGTGGTCGATGGAGTCACGGAACGGGAAGAAAGCGTCTGACGCGAGACTTACGTCCGTAAGAATTTGAAGAAACTCCTCCTTCTCAGCAACCGTAAGCGGTTCCGGAACAGTCTCAAAGAGCGCATTAAATGACTCAAGCTCAGCAGGCGCCATGTCGCCCTCAATATAACGCACACGCGCGTTCACACGCTCCTGACGTTTAACGCTGCTCTTAAAAGCAAGACCCTGCACCTTTGGGTGTTGACGAAGGTGCCAGATGGCAACCTTGCGACCAGCGAGCTTCACACAGTCCACGCGTGACTGCTGACCGGCGCCGACACCAATCATCTGACCGTCCTTAGCGTAGCCAACCGAGTTGGACTGCGTATACTTGAGGGTAATAGCCGCAAGAACAAGGTCACGCTTCTTGGCGTCGGTCAGAGGACCGGCACCAGACGTCTGCACGTCCGCCAAGTGCTTCTCAGCTGAGACCATGACATCATTGCGCTTCTGGGCAAACGTGATGCCAGCGACCTCGCGGTACTCAACGTCCGGCAGAACAAAACTCGGGTCAGCCTCAAGGACGATAAACTTGCCACCCTTCTTGGCCTTAAGGATCTCAAAAGCCGCCGGCTCGTAGCCAGGCGCAATGATACCATCGCTCACTTCACGCTTGAGAATCTTAGCAGTAGCTTCGTCAACCACGTCACTGACAGCGACAAAGTCCCCAAACGATGACAGAGGGTCGGCGTTACGGGCACGGAGGTAGGCGAGAGATAGCGGGGTCAGCTTTACGTTGCCCACCTCGTATGCAGCATGGAGACCTTCCTCAAGGTCCACAGCCACAGCCGCGCCGGCAGGGCTTACATGCTTGAACGATGCAGCAGCAGGCAAATTCAGCGACAGACGTAGCTCACGCACAAGCTGGTAGGCGTTGGCAGCGTCCAACAAATTGATGTAACCAGGGGTACCGTTGAGTACCGTGAACGGCAGTTTGCTGCCCACACGGCTAAGAATGGCCGCTGGAATCTGGTGTGGGTTGCAGCCGTACTTGAGAGCAAACTCATTCTTGTACACACGAGTGACAGTGGGGGCAGCATTGCCAAGCTGACCATTAAGCCACGACGAGATGGACGAGTCGTAAGATGCTGCCAGAGAGAAGGCAGCAGCAGCACAGCTCCGACGAAAATCAATGGACGTGCTAAAAGAGTCCTTATTGGTCTCTAGTTCCTGGATGAGTGCAGGATATTGCGTGGGGCTTGTGCAAATAACCACCGCCTTGTGGTTCTTAGCTGACGAGCGCAACATGGACGGTCCACCAATGTCAATGTTTTCAATGCACGTATCAAAGTCTCCACCATTGGCCACAGCCGCTTCAAAAGCGTAAAGGTTTAGTACCACTAGATCAATGTTCTGGATGCCGTTAGCAGCCATGTCCGCTTCGTGCTGTGCGTTACCACGTACACCCAATAGACCGCCGTGAATCCTGGGATGTAGCGTCTTTACACGCCCGTCCATAATCTCAGGCGAGCCCGTGTACGTCGACACGTCCGCGACCGGTAGCTTGGCATCGCGTAGTGCTTTGGCAGTGCCACCCGTTGAGAGTAATTCGACGCCGTGTTGTGACAGGTATGTGGCTAGCTCTACAATACTTGTCTTGTCTGACACGGACAGCAATGCGCGCTTGATGGGCACCAACGAGGCATGAGAACCCGTGGACACGGCGTGCAAGATGTGGCTCATATGGTCAGGTAGACTTGAAATGGGCACCACTGCTTTAGACGAGTTATTTTGATTGGCTATAAGTATTGTACCAGATGGATTGGACGAAATTGGCCCTGCAATCATTTAGAGACAAGAATATTTGCAATATTTCGTCATTTATCTCAAAAATAACGAAAAGCATTATGGAGACAAAGACGTTGCTAAATACGCTATCACCGCAGCTACAGGCGCTTGTGGAGGCATCTTTAGGCACGAAGCTTCCACCATCTGCAACTTCAACTGCTACTAAACGTATACAGAAAACCTCATCATCCACTAATGAGACGAAAATGCAGATTAGAGGAAAACAATCGTCTTTGAATGCTACATCTCAACTTAATCCATCGGATCTCTTTGGTTTGTTGTTGTTGTGAATTGATTTTTCATTGCAATTTGTATGTGTTAATCTATTTGTACCACTTCTTACAGCTCTAAAGCATCCTGAATCTCCTGGATTTATCGTGAAAGAGGAATTTCTAGGACGACAGAATGCGTTGGCAGTACGAAATGCACTCAATGAGCTCGCACAAAGACAAACTTTTAATGAGGCAAAGGTTGGCGCTGGTGATAAGTTGCGCAGCGATCGAGCGGTGCGTGGGGACAAAATTCTTTGGATCGAGACACCACGTGACTTGGATCGTTCAACGGGTGACAAGAGTGCTAGCTTCGAGGCTATTTTGCATCTACAAAGAAAAGTAGAGTCACTGGTGTATGGACTCAAGAAGGTCTCACCGGAGCTGGATCTACGCAATGTTGTGTCAACACAATTGGCGATATTTGTACGTAGAAGGTTTATGAAATGTGGCAGATGCCCGTGCTGACGTGAGGTTGGTGCCATGTGCATATTTGTTAGCCAGGCAATGGTGCCCGATTTGTCAAACATTTAGATACGTACTCGAACGTTCAAAGAGATGAGCGTGGTGTGATGTTTAGGGATGGGCTTGTCCGTTTGATTACATGTGTGTACTATCTGAACGATCAGTGGGAACCTGAACACGGTGGTCACCTTCGCATTCATGTAAAAGAGTCCAAACTATTGCCTGCTTGTCACTGGGATGTCCCACCGAAGCTTGACACGCTAATGGTGTTTCGGAGCCTCGATGTTGAGCACGAGGTGCTGCCGACGTACCGCGAGCGCAAGGCTTTGACAATATGGTATTATGGAAAACAACCCGGAGTTTTGCCTGACCAAGTAAGAACTTCAAAAACGGGGGAACACTCTGTGCCACGGCCACTTCCTATAACATCAGATAACAAGCCTGGACATGCAAAGCATCCTTCCATTTTCGTTGCAATCCCAAGTTATCGCGATTCGGAGTGTAGACACACGGTCGATGACTTACTTGCAAAAGCAACAATTTTGGACCGAGTTTTCGTTGGTATTTGCTTGCAAACAGATAGCGACGATGATACTCAGTTGTACCTGGAGAGTAAATACTCTTCCAGCAAGATTCGTGTGCATTGGGTAAACTATCGAAAGGCTGCAGGTCCATGTGTGGCTCGGGCGCAAGCGCAGAAGCTATGGCGGGGCGAAGAATTCTATCTCCAGATCGACAGCCACATGCGTTTCCGTCCTGGGTGGGACTGTTTTCTGATTAACGAGCTAGGGAAGTGTGTCGCGGCAAAGCCTATCCTGACAACGTACCCACTAGGGTATACGTTGCCTAGTCAGGTAGACTATGACATTCGCCGTGTCTGTTTCGTCGGAGTCGCTTGTTAGGTATCTGACCGTGTTCCGTTTTTTTTTCTTTTGCATATCGCTGCAGGTTTCGGTGGATTGTCGTCCCACCCTTTTGTGCGCTTCCTCATTTGACGAGCTCGGCATGCTGCGCCAAACCAGCAAAATACTTACGAAAGCATTAACAGAGTGGGTGTATATAAGCTAATGGCTGTTGTGATAGCTTTGTCGTATAAATGCTTATTTTTTCTGCTTTGATTTGTGTGCTCGTGCGTAGGCCACTGCCATCACTTTTCTGGGCCGCCGGTTTTGCCTTTTCATCGTCAAAGGTGATCGCGGAAGTGCCGTATGATGAAGAATTACGTTTCTTATTCTTCGGGGAAGAATCTTCGATGGCTGCGCGACTCTGGACTTCAGGATGGAATTTCTTTACGCCTTCGGAAACTGTGGTTTACCACCTTTGGACACGAGCGTATCGTCCTGTTTTTCAGGAATTGGAAACCGAAGAAACAAAACAGTGCCGCGACGCATCAGCTCAGTACGTTAAACATTTGTTGCGCGTGAATCGGACTAGCGATAAAGATGAATGCAACGGCAAGTATGCAAAGTTTGGGTCGGAGCGAAGCTTTGACAGCTACCAAATGCACATCGGTGTAAATTTTGCCACTGGGGACATTGAGTGGAGGGCCGAATGGGGCAATCTTGACCCGATCCGATTCGATCTTAATCCTAATACCGAGGAGCCGCTGACTCCTGTCTAGGTACAGCATGCTTTGCACAAACATGGAAACGAGCTGAAGACTTGCACTCATTTATCACGGTACATGACAATACTAGTACTGTCTTCTCCTTCTTCTATCCCTGGTAGCGACCACCTTTTTGCCGGCCTTAATCAACCGATTGCCCAGCGTGAACGTAGTAGTCGACCATGGTCTGAAGCTCTTAAAGAAGCATGAAACTCGCGTGGGCAGTGTGCGTCCGTGATGCTGGCAGACTTTGCCATCAAAGTTGTAGCAAGGCACGTCAGTGTTGAAGAACGCAATACCAGTCTCATAGCCCTCGAAGTGCACCCGGAGCGTTGGCCGAGTACAGTAGTGGTTTAACAAAACTGTGCGACATACGAAGAAAAGCTCTAGAGCTGTCGGAACTATTACGTCTCAACATACCTCTTGGAACCCACTACCACAAATCCTTGAGTGTACGACTGGATCGTATCAACGTCACGAAGACGAGATGCACCTCATGCAATCCCGGTGCCATTGCCGCCGATCTGGGTGTACGCGCCGTCTCGCACTGCGAAATGCTAGCTGCTAACGATCTTCATGCTATGACTAGGTACATTTTGAAGCTGCCGAACCCGTGATTCGATTGCAGCTGGTGTTTCCGTCAGCAACTACAACTGTCTCTCGATGGCTCTCACGATGAACATGGCCTGCGTTCTGTTTGACATGATAATGAAAGAGGCGTTTGTGGGCGCCATCATCATCGGTGCTGCTTCCATCTGTTGGTCAGCTACTCATGGCAGCCTCGAGCTCGGCAAACAGAGTGCTTGGTAGCCATGCGTGCAACTCAGTGGAAGTAGATCGTCTACGAAATAGGCAACTTTCTGATTGAGTACGTGGTGAAGAAGGGAATTGTCTACAATGCTAAGTGATACTGTTGTGAGCTCGACGCCCTACATACACAGAGAAGATGAGTCGAGTGATTTTGCTTAAATAAAGACACTACTCCCTCTTGCTTGCTTAACCTACCAGGTGTGCTTGTTAAAGAAGACTGTCTGCACAGCGACTAGCAGCAAAATATCCTCTGCACCTCACAGGCCTACTGTGTGGGTGGCTGATACGTATTCTTCTCATTCCACTCGTCCATCTTCTTTTCAATGAATGCAATGACTTTTGGGTCCGGCACAATAAATAAGTGTATGTCGTCTAGATCTTCAATCACAAACCGTTGCTACATCCAATACAAAAGGTACAAAAAGCATCTTCATGTTATACTAAAAATGCCACGGTATTTTAGAGATCCAGACCATTTTTAACCTGTACGGCCGTCTCATTCAAATGGAGCAAATACTGCTTCGTAGCCGGATCGCTGCCAATACAAAGCAACGTATCATCAGTAATGCAATAACCGATAGGCATAGAATGCTGTGTTATGGGCATATTGTTCACACGCAAAGACTTGAGCGACGAACCATTTGACCAGAACGCCCTTGTTTGCGGTTGGCATGGTAGCAAAATAACGTTTTGTCTGATTGTTTGTATAATACACAATAATATACCAACTACTTAAAATAAACTTGAATTTTATAGTATAAAATCAAACTAGGTGTTTCTTATTAGTAAACTGTATCATCCTTTTCTTAAGACCGGTTGTTGTTAGCCAACTTTCTTCCAAAAGGGTTGAACAAACTGGTTACAAAGCAGTATGTACAACACAGTCTCCAAAAACTAAAGCGTTGCGCTTGGCTAAAAGCCGGCGAAACTACTTAAAATCCTGTTCGTAAAAACAAGAGGAAGGAAAGAAACGATATAATGTATAGTCAACAGAAGCTACGTCGTTATATTTGTACAAGGCTTATGCCCTTTCAGTGTTAGTCACAACTCTGAAGAATAGCAAAATCTCTTTTCAAATTTCGCTACTAGGCTACTACTTGCTACGACATCCTAGAACTGATAAGAGTTCCAATAATGGTATGAGCCCAAACGCACGAAATAAGACTCCAAACCACTCAATGTGCCGGACTGCCGACTGTCAGATGGGGTATGACGGGGTGGAAAAGTCGGAACCGATGAAGTAAACTAGAACTGGGATTGCCAAAGAATCCAAGACGGCAACGAGGTGTAAATATACAGGAGATAATAGAGCTAGCCAATGCCTTTGCTTGATGAACAGAGGTGGTGGGTATACTTAGAGCGAGAGACCTGCAACGTAGATAAGCTGGAAGCTGTAGGATTAAATTCAACAGCTGAAGGGACGTGATAAATATCATATATTCTGCCAAAATAGTTCTTGATCGGAAAGTAGCTTTCTTCTCGATCTACTTATTCTTCTTCTTCATGCAAATGAAAGCGAGGAACTAATACAACAGCTGCACGATGAGGGTGTCATCACCTTCATTCACCTCCATGATCGCGTCTGTGGCCCAAGCTACTCTCCGTAGTCGTCATGGCGGGCAAATGAATCAATCGAAAGCATTATTGAAAAAGCCCACCAACGTGATCGATTTTGTCACGACGCCAGAGATGGTCTCGTAAGTCGACCACCCGCAGGTTGACGAATCATGCCTTGCCTTGATCACTGCGTGCAAAGACGCATTCACTGTCCTTCCCCATGCTCGTATTCACTGCAAGCACCAAATTATCTGGTATTGTGTGTATCGGACACATATTCATTTTCTATTAGAGTCGAAGCCAAAGCTCAATAAAGGCAATTAGGGGATTTCATTAGGGTTGCATCGCCGGACGGATGTTTTTGTAGCTTGCATGCAGTGGAATAGATGTACAGAGTTTTCTTTCTGAGCCGAGGTGGCAGCATTTTTGTATTCACGAAAGCTGTCTCTAAGAACATGGGAAGTATGCGTCTTCGCAGTAGTAGGTCTACTGACAGCACCGTTAACCTTGGGAAGAAAGCTATGGTCGTGAAAAATGAGATGGCGTCCTCGTCATTTCCAGGGCAACAAGTTTCTTGCAGTCGCAACAAAATGGACGAGAAATCTGTCAGCATAAAGCGCGAGATAATCGAAACAGATGAGAAGAACGTTATGCCAATTGTAAAGAAGAAAGTAAAACGAGCAAGTATCAAGAAGGAACGGATTCCTCGTCAAGAACCTAATGGCTGGAAGGAGATTTTACTGGGGATAGAGGAGATGCGGGTCAATAAGGATGCCGAGGTCGACAAGTACGGCGAGGTACGACTGTGAATGGGGGAGATCTCCAATAGAGAACGTTAGTGTCTGAGCTGTATGTGCTGGAATATAGGCGTTTTTCGGCGAGAGCTTTCTACCTCATGAGCGTCGTTTTCACGTGCTTATTTCAGCGATGCTGAGTAGTCAGACGAAAGACCCTGTGAATGCCGCAGCAATGGGTCGTCTTATCAAGCACGGTATGGTGCATGATGTCTTAGTGCTTGTTACTGGTTGTGTTGGTAGAGACTGGTTGTATCGTCTGTCTTGTAGGGCTGACTGTGGAATCGATGCTTGAGATTGACCAACAAGAGCTCGCAAAATTGATCCGACCTGTTGGTTTCTATAACTACAAGGCCAAATACATCAAACAGACCGCTTCGATCTTGACGGAGCGGGCCAACGCTGCGGGCAAAGTTGTAGCTGACATTCCAGACACGTACGAGGGTCTCATCGCTTTGCCCGGTGTTGGACCAAAAATGGCTACGCTAGTGATGGACAGCGCGTGGAACAAGTACGCTTTTTTCTGGCTGTGAAGTTCCTTTGCAAAAATTGATGATGTTTTCGTGTAGTGTTGTGGGAATTTGTGTGGACACGCACGTGCATCGAATCTCGAATCGGCTCAAGTGGGTGAATACATGGAACATGAATAATCCGAAGTCCCAGGACCCGGAGAAAACCCGAGCGGTACGAAAGATGGTCAATTGGTAGATAGTCAAGTATTTGACAATAGTTGTTTGAGTGTAGGAGCTGGAGGACTGGCTACCAAAAGAACACTGGGGCCCCATCAACATTCTGCTAGTCGGCTTCGGACAAACAATTTGTCGTCCACGCAATCCCAAATGCAGCGAATGCAAAATTCGTAATATCTGCCCGTCCGCTAACAGTTCCTCAATTTGAGTCACGGATGTGTGTGGAATGCCCGTAAAAGAAGCTGATTGCGCTTCAACTACTTACCACCAAGCGTTTGCAAACCTTGTACAAGTCTCGAGTATATCGGTATGTTAATGAAACAAATTGTTGATACCTTTCCGAAATCTTATCCGGATCCTTCAGGGTAGTGAAATTCTTCAGCAGCGTAAAAATAGCGACGGCAATTGGCTTGCACAATTCGCCCTTTACTTCTAGAACTGATGAGCCCTTCGAGTTTATGCATCAGTTTTGCAGACTGCATGTATCCAAGACCGGAAAAATCTCAACGTGTAGGTTCGAAACCACAACTTGTATAATGATCGTCCCGAGTATATACCATCTATCTATAAGCATTTGCTTATAAATCCATGAGCTGACGTTTCGCAGCCAATGGTCATGATCGTCCCGAGTATATACCATCTATCTATTAAGCATTTGCTTATAAATCCATGAGCTGACGTTTCGCAGCCAATGGTCATGATCGGCTGTTCGAAAGGCAACAACCTATAGACCAGGCCAGTTCGGTAGATGCTCCGCTAGGTTTTCCTCTTCCGTAACGCGTTCAGTTTTAAATAGTTCAATAAACTAAAAACAAACAATGACGTTAAATTCAGAGCAAGATATTCACATTCAGAGATAGCATCCGCTACCTGTTGATCCATCATTCGAGGCTTTGGAGCCGAGAAGCGGATGTATTCATCGAAGATCGAGCTAAAAGCCCAGCGCTGTACTTTACGCAGCGAGCCGACGAGGCAACCAGTGCGATGCTGCGATCAACATACACACTGTTAGACATTTCGGATGAGCTGTGAAAGCATGAGACAAAGGAAAATAGAAGCCAAATACTTACTTTTCCCTTATTGCAATGAATGAGCATAGGATGGTTACGTTTGTCTAGTACAGCCGTCAATGCCGCCACAATACCGTCCTCTGATATGTCCACAAAAGGTTCCTATAAAGCACAAACCAAGTGTCAAAACGCGTATATATCTGCTTTCATGATTCAAAAAGTTTGAATCTTATTAACCTTATTGCCCGGGACTCCAAACTGTAGTAATTTGATACCGTGCATTCGATTGAACTCTGTATTGGCAAGTGGATAGTCCTCCAATACCAACGTCAGTATAGACTTGAGCTGCAGTGACTTGTTAAGAAATGCAAAGTTCTTTTTCTTGGGAAACCCACCTAAGGATAATTAGTAAAATGTAAAATATCCAAACAATATCGGATAAATTGAATCAGATTTACGCACTTCTATAGAGACCCTTTTCGATCATGGCAAAGTTCTCAGGTGGGATAAGTTCCTCGTACTCAGCATCTTCTTCCTCTACCGCTTTAACACGAGCAGGGTCACCTGCAAGCACCACAGACGACGACGATAGTGTCGTCATTAGTGTTTTACCAATAACAAGTTGGATTTTTGCATACTGTAGCCATGTCGTCCCTTTTTGTCCAATCACGGGTATTATACCCTCTAAAAGAACACGAAGACAACGTTAATAATGGTGGAGATGGCCCAAACACACCCTAAGATAGAGACAGCGATAACACCACAACCTGGAAATAAGCGAAGAAAAATGGCGCGTACGGCACTAACTCTTCGTGAAAAAGCCATTGTTAAAAGTTTCTGTGAAGAGAAAATAAGCGATTGCAACGCTCAAGGAAAATTAATGCCATCCCAGGAAATTCTTCGACGGGAAGTGGCAACTCAGTTCGGATGGTCATGTGGACGTTCAACATTATCCAGAATCATATCAATGGATTGGAAAGTGCTACGAGGAAGCTGTGAAGGTGGCAATGCAGTGAGAAATCTGGATATGAAACGACATCGTCGTCCATTATTTCCTGCTTTCGAGGCTGATCTAGTCAAGTTTATTCGTACTCATATGAAAGACGAAGGAGAGAACGGAAGCGTTGCAAACGATGTAGACGAGTCACAAGTAGCCGAAAAAAATGATGGTGTCAGTGCGCTGCCAGTAACCGAGAATAAAGGAACCGGTGCCATTGGAGACACTGCAGATGGAGGTCAAGGACGACCTTTAACGGAAGCATTGATTCTTGAAGAAGCGCAACGACTGAAAAAAGTACATGGTGTATCCGACGAGATGCTTGTGCTGTCGGTCGGGTGGCTCGCACGACTTAAACATCGATATTGTATTCGTCTGCGAAAACCTGCAGGAAGGCCCAGCAAGTGTTCGTTACCACTGCATTATCAACTTGGATTAGTTACAGGGGGTAGTGCTGAGTCGATGGTTTCTTGGAGCTCTAGTCTTATCACTCCTAGTGCACCGGACACGCAAGATGCAAGTAAACAGATGATGCCTCGCCAGCCCGTGACAGACGCTACGACCGATATTGCGAGTAATAATGTCGATCAATTACCGCCATCGACTCAACAGGCTGGAAATGTGAGGCTGACATGCGATTCTATCCAGTCAGCAACGTTGAAGAGGACAGTGCTGTGCTCTGCGCAATGGCATCAACGAGAGACAGCCAACTCCTCGACGACAACCGCTGAGCTACTGCGACAGATCCCTGAAAGCATTCGTGAACTTGCGTGTTCATGTCAAGGATCAGCAACTTGTGATAAGTTATTTGGTGGCATCGCTGGACTACGAGTTGCGGTTGTGGGATTTGGTAGTGTCGTGGAGGCTTTCCTCGCAGCCGCGTTAGTCGGTGCCGATGGGTTTGTTACTTGCGTGGAAGCTAGCCCTGCAAACGTCTATTTAGCGGAACAAGCTGCAGAGAATTTCTGCCTAACGACATTGGGGTTGCCTTCCGTGAATATAAAGTTTATTGTGGGCGAACACGGTGGTATGCCTCAGTCATCATCGTCATCATGCGCAGGTGGCGACGAACTTAAGGATTTACAAGATCAGACCGATATTGCTATATGCAACTGCTCGATCCAATCGTTAGAGTTCCCCGTTAGCAAGAATGCCATGCTGGAACTGGCGTTCGGTCTGCTTAAGGTTGGTGGGGAACTACGCGCGGCAGATTTGGTTTCGTCTCGACGGCTGTCATCATCTGAATGTGAGGAGACACGCTTAGCAGTGGAAGCAATAGTTAGGAGCAAAGGTGCAGCGAGGACACATGAAAGCTCAAAGCAATCAGAGCAGAAACTGCTACTCGGTGCACCGTACATAGGCGATCTACAACGACTGTTTCGAGCGCTAGGTGGCGATGCCGAGGTTCGCTCTGTGAGTTGTAACGAAGCAGAAGCTACGACAATGGACGTCGCCGTAGCTTCTTTACTACCCTCCCTCGCTGCTGCCAACAATGTCAAGTTTCGTCGTGTCACTTTTCACGTGTTCCGACTTCATAATGTCGAAGACCCGTGCGAGGATTACGGGCAGACGGCAGTATTTAATGGTTACGATAGTCAAGACAAGGCCACCGGTGGTGAAGATTTGTCATCATCGTTTCAACTTGATGATAATTGGAACTTTCGGAGAGGTGTGTGCACGCCGATTGACGGCAATACTGCGCAAATTTTGCAGACAAGCTGGATGCAACGATACTTTTCTGTAAGTGGAGATTGTTCTAGGCACCGCGGTCCGTTCGTAGCGAGCGCGTACTCAATGGAGGGCTCGCCTGTGTCACAGCAAGCCGCTTCGGCACCGGAGACAGCGGTTGCTGACCAACCATCATCTACAATATCATCGTCCCTCATAGAGCCGCTCGATATGATAAACATTTAAAGGGTATTAAATGCAGTACCATGTTGGCCCTGCACAGTGACGCAAGTGTTTGAAGCTCGTTGATCTTTTTGAATAATGCAGATGTGCCATCAATTATATCCGTCTCGTGCGATGCGCAGAGTGCGCACTGCATGCAAACTTTACTTCACATTCAGTGTTCATCAATCCACCGCACACTTTGATTTAAGGCAAGACGTGGGCGGACATTTCCCATTTCATTGGTGCATGTCGTGACCTGTGAGGCATTTTTACGGACCAACTTCTAAGATTTGTACAAGCCAAGCAAAAGATTGCGAAGGGCTGTAGTTAGGTGCCCATAACAAACCTTCATTTGTCTTGACTATAACTGTTTTCCGTGTACGCTGTTGTAGATTCACCAGCTCATGTTAGTCAGTTTCAAGCACATCTGTCATGTATTTAATGATCCAGTCAAACTTTGTTGTTGGCTTAATAAAGGACGATATGGGCGAGGTTGCCTCCGGTGTGTGCTTGCTGGCGCCCGTGTGCTTATAAATGTTCACGTGTACTAGTTCAGTACCTCGGGCCCATTCTACAGCATTGCTGAGACAATATTCGCATTATTTCTCTATAGCGCACATAGGGACTTGCCATCACTTTGGCCTATGTTGCCCATAGTGTGGCGTGAACTTCTGTATGTTGTGCAATTCAGCTTGTGTGTGAATGTGAAGGAGAACGAATGAAGTCATACGGGGTAGTACCGGTAGCTGAGACGTAGAATAAAAGACCCATTGGGCGTTGGGTCTTTTTACAAAACACTTAAAAATGGGTCCTACCCACCTACCTATCTTCCTGCAAAACCCTCCATAAAAATTCCGATCCAGCTTCACCAATATTCGACGAGCTTCACCCAAGCCCACAAGCTAGACCCATGGTATCCACACGTAGCCGCACATCTGGCTCTTCATCTGCCATGGAGCTTCCACAGAAGCGTGGGGCTGCCACGGATGCCTCCAAGCGACCGACCAAGAAGGCAACGACGCCCCAGGTCGTCAGTGACCTGACAGTCGGCGAACTCGTGACCAAGGATGTGACGCTAATGAACCAGGAGGGAAAAGAGGTCGTACTGGCCGACACATTCCGCGAGCAGGGCGTCGTCTTTTTCATGTACCCACGTGCCAACACGCCCGGCTGTACCAAACAGGCTTGTGGTGCGTTGGTCGTCCATAGAAACTGTTTTTTTTCATGAAATACTCACATCCATTTGTCTTTCTTTGCCCTCCCTCCCCCTCTACAGGCTTTCGGGACAACATTACGACCATCAAGGACGCGGGATTTGCAGTCTATGGCTTGAGTGGTGACTCTTCCAATGTCCTGAGCAACTGGAAGTCGAAGCAGAGTCTACCCTTTGACCTGCTGAGTGACCCTGAACACAAACTCATCTCGTACTTTGGTAGCTCTCTGGCGGGCAAAAAGGTGCAACGCTCGCACGTTGTCATTCTCAAGGGTGGTGTCGTGGGAGACGTTGCTGCCAAAGTGTCCCCTGCGGATAGTGTCAGCCGTGCCGTCAAGTTCGTTCAGACAAACAGTGATAAAGCTACGACGGAGGAGGAATCAGCTAAGGAAGATGAGCCAGTAAAGCAAGATGAGCCGACCAAGGAAGTGGAGTTAAAGGATACGAATAAGTTTGCCGAGGACAACATTATTACGTTTGACGTGGAGTTGCAGAATGATGCTTCCACGACGATCAAGATCCAAGACCTGTTCAAGACGCGTGGCGCCATATTTTTCATGTACCCGAAGGCGGACACGCCAGGCTGCACTACCCAGGCGTGCGGCTTCAATGACAACCTGACGACGTTCAATACTGCTGGTTTTGATGTATACGGACTGGGTGCCGACACCCCGGCCGAGCTTCTGACGTGGAAGGAGTCGCAAAAGTACAAGTACACGTTCCTGTCAGACCCGAACCACCAGCTGATCGGCTACTTTGGCAGCTCCATCAAGGACGGCACGCGCGTGGACCGCTCGCACGTAATTGTGCTCCCGGGTGGCAAGGTCGGCCAGATAGATTACAACATTTCGCCGCAGGACAGTGTGAACAAGAGTCTGGAGTTCGTCAAGAACCACGCCATCGACGGATCCAGCAAGTTGTAAGTCTCTCGGCAGTTTAGTGTATGAAATCTTGAGGACGCTGTTGTATCAACGACTCACACAGGTCCCGATACAAATAACTACTACCTTTTGCCATTGTCGTAAACGTCCTCGTCTTGATCTCGTGTAAGATGCGGGTAACGCTATAAGCGTCGATTACAATGCGATCAGACACGTATATGGACGTTACATGCACACGTAGATCGCTGCATGTGCATCAATCTCTTATCAATTGGTAGATGCCTAGCTTGAAGCACGTCAGCTACAATCTTTATATGCTCATCACCAAAACTACAGTAAAGAAGAGCGCCACTTGTCGATTCTCCATCGGCCGTCGAGCTGTAAGAAGATGTTCGATAGACGTTGGGGTCGTGGGCGCTAGAGTGGCACTTCTTTCATCTGACACGTCTAAATGCATGGTGCTAAGGCTTTAGGCTACTGCTGCTAGTGTATACACTGCCATTGTCCCTTATCAATGCTAACGGATCTTTGCTTCCGGTTTCCGAGCGATGCCGTCTACCCTGAATCGACGAAATGGACGACATATGCGATAGCGCATTGGACGGATCCATTTTTAAGGTTTGCAAGATAGAGGAGTATGACAAATGGGGAAGAATTTGTAACGTCATAGTGTGAAGAAATGGGGGTCCATGAGGCGAACAACATGCTCATCAGTAACGGTCCCATTCGGAGGAGATGCAGTATGGTGTTGGTGGGCTGCGATAATGCAACACAATCTAAGGGCCCAAAGGCGTTGAGGCGCCAACAGCGTCTTAATACGAGTGGAGCCTAGATGGTAGTGCTGATGAGCCGGCATTGCATGTGCATCGTTATGGGTGCGGAGGTGGCTAACTACGAGCACAACAAGGCTGTTCGATGGCGGAAGTGCTGCGGAGCAAGGTCACGGGTTTTCAGGAAACGGGCGAAGTTAACGTGGCGACGCATGAGGTGATGAGGCTTGAAGGTGGCGATGTCAATTGTAGTATTTGCAACGAATTAGAGAATGGTAACTATAGCCAAGCAGCACACAATGTCGAGATACCGTGTGTCTATGTTACTGCTGCGTCATTGTTGACGATGTGCCATCAACAATGTCGCCAATTTTTGGTTCGGACAGATAAGCAAATTTGGTGAGTTGAAAGAGCCCACTTGCTGGCAACGCATGTCATGGACGAGATGCTGGAAGGCTTACCACCTCGATGCGTACCTGCCGAGTCGTTTCGAGGACCAAGTCTATGAGGGCTTCCATGTGATGGAGGTGGTGCGGCACGCGGACAAGTCTGATCGAATAAAGCAGCTTCTAAAGCAAGGATGGAGTCGAGTTAAACAACAAAGTAAGAAGTGGCAAACAGCGTACTTGAAGTAATTTATGTACCTTGTCTATGCAGGAAATGTCGGCATTAGCTCCTGTTGCTTGGGTGGAGGGGACTCTTGGAAATATTCGTGTGCCAGTGCATCCTTGGCTGAGATTCGCTCGCGCGGGCTGAGAGCTAGCATCCGACATAATAGGTCAAATCCTGCTTTCGACAGCGAGCACCCACTACCTGAAAAAGTTGCAGCGAGTGGAAACTTAGCACGTAGTCGAGAATGCTTCGGCCACTTTCCACGCACGCTAACGTTTGCATCAGGTACATCTTCATCGACCCCAGGCCAATTATGCTCATTAGGTGCTCCTAGCAACTTGAAAATCTGGTCTGTTTGGTCGATTTCTCCACGTCCTGCAAACAGCGGTTTCATCAACAGCATCTCGGCGAAAATGCATCCAACCGACCACATATCCACCGCCGTCGAGTATTTCTTCGCACCAAGTAGGAGCTCGGGAGAACGATACCACAGCGTCACAACTGGCTGTGTGTACGTTCTCAGTGGTGAGCCGTACTTGCGAGCCAGTCCAAAATCACAAACCTTCAGTACTCCGCGTGCATCATACAACAAATTGCTAGTTTTGAGATCCCGATGAATATACCACCGATCGTGCATATAAGCCACCGCACTCAGCAGTGAGTGCAAGAGGTATTTCACTTCCGACTGTAGCCACGGAGCCTTCATCTTGGTCTGCATCACGTGCTTCAGGTCATTCTCAGCATAATCCATGACCATATAAATCTTATCGGGGGTGGATCCCACCACCATTTCCCGTACTTGAACAATATTTGGATGGTCCAAAGCTAGCAGCACATTGGTTTCACGCAAAGCCGTGATGGGAAAGCCTTCTTGACTGGCATCAGCGCTCATTTTGACCTGTTTGAGCGCTACGACATCATCCGTGTCCTTGTCTCGAGCTTTAGATACGACGCCGTACGTTCCTTCGTCGATTTTGCCGATTCGAGCGTAGCGGTCGACGCTGCGACAGCCTAGAAGATAGAAATTATGTCTTGGAGGGTCCTCATTTAAATCGTCACTTTTTTCACTTGTAGACGGATGTAGGACACCGGAATCGTCGCCATATAAAGATGAAGCACTGGAGGAAATAACAATCGAATTACTGCGGTCAGAGACGGGATGCTTGCGACGGGAGACACTATCATCAGCGGAGTCTGAGTCTGAGTCCCAGCGATTTCGCTTCGTCATTTCTTCAATCGATAGAAATTAGGCAAGATACCCAAAATAAGAACATTCGTTAGAAATGACGATACACGACGATTTCAATCTCGTGTTCCATTAAAGTGACATGCCAGTTGGTATGACAGATGATTGATGGACATGCCAGTTAGTATGCCAGATGGTATCTGACATGCCACAGTTGACAGGTTATGACAGCACGTTAGGTTAAGCACGATAGGACTTATGGTTGTTTAATTAGTTCATTCTCATTTCTACCTACATCTCCAGAAGCCTCTCCAGCAAGCTCTCGGAGCCGATTGCCCCTCTGCCAGCCAAGGGCGTGTCATTTTGAAATTTCAAATTTGAACTCAAGAGAATTAAATCCGTAAGCAAAACAATATTATCATGTGCAGATACGATGAAAACGACTACGTCACTTATACGGTGGTGATCTCACCAGCCCAAGACGGAATCCCGGCTGATACCATGCAAGTTAAAATGAACAAGTTTAAAGGAGGAAGTCCGCGGGACTATCTCAAGTGGAGTTTTGACTTCCAAAGCCTTGCCAAGAAGAAAGGGTGGAATGATGAGCAAAAGAGCCGTAACCTTATAGCTCTGATTGAGGGGGACCTCGCATACGACGTAAACCTCTTGGTGATCGAAGCAAGAACCAATAGTTGGACTTTTGACCGTTTCTTTACCGCTGTGGGGCTGCTCTCAGTACCAGAAGATTTTAGCGAAGATCTGGACAATGAATTATGGAACATGACAAAGCGACGGGATGAAAGTGTTCTAAAGTTTTCTCAGCGTTTTCGTGAAAACATTCGTTTATTCGCTGAGCTTCCGCAGGACGCGGAGGTGATACCAGATGTGCAAATGCGTCGCTACTTCAAGCGCGGGATGCCGATATCATGGCAAGATAAGTTGGCAGCGGCGGGTGTCATCCCTGATACGCTCAACGAAATGATACTTTACTTTTCACGCCTTGAGAAACAAGAAAGATTACACAAGGGGCCATCTTCACAAGAAGGCCATAGAAACAAAGGAGGTCGCAACAAGGATCACGCACGTAAGAGTGAGCACAAGAGCCCCTACCAACCCAGCAACAAGAAGCAAGGAACAAAGTACACGGCGAAGTCCGAAGGAGATAAGTGGTGCTCTCATCATAAGACACGATCGCATAATACTAGTGATTGCTTTGCCCTCAAAAAGCAAAAAGAGGAGCACTCGCAAGTGGAGGAAAAAGTTGAAGAAATAAATACCCAATGATATTCAATGAGGAAGACTCAAGCAGTGACGACGAGTGCAAGCTTATTGGACTAGTTCAGCATACACCGAAGATAACAACAGCACCGCTTCGCATCACAGCCCAGCTCCGACACGACAAGAACCACTTTAGTGCACTTCTGGACACGGGCGCCTCAAGAAGTATTGTCGATAAGTCTTTTTTGGATGCGAGCATGAAATACGGATATAAGGTGGAATCACATACGGTTACGGTGTTTGAAACCATAGGCCAAGAGGTAGCTAGCAGTGGGACCATAGTCGCCCAATTTCGCTTTACGCAATTAAAGCCTGAATCAGTCATCACGCACCGCTTTCAAGTGGTTGAGGCCAGCAAAGATACTATGGTAATTGGACGAGATCTTCTGCAAGCGCTGGGAATTACGATAAGTTTTCGAGACCGGACTGTTCAATGGAAAGATCAGTGTATAACTATTAACACTGGAAAGACCATTAACGAACCGCCCCAACTAGCCGCCGACACAGAATGTCTGGAAGAGTATAAAGAGCTAGCGGATTCAGCTGCTGATCCAAAAGACTTGCTTCCAGAACATCTCGTTACCGACGTCTCCAGGCAGTATTTGGATCTGCTCGAGAAGTATCGCCATTTATATGACGGTCATTTGGGACGCATGCGGTTCGCTGATTACGTGTTACCACTGTCACCAGAATATAAACCAGTACAAGCCAAGCCTTATCCGATCCCACGCAGCCTCGAGAATGCATCAAAGGCAGAGATCCAGCGTCTGATTAAGCTGGATGTACTGGAACAAATTTACAATTCTGAAATGGCTAGTCCAGCCTTTTTTGTGCCTAAACCAAATGGTTCACTGCGACTTCTAATTGACTATCGAGTGCTAAATCATTGGCTACGTCGAAGTCCATACTTCGTTCCTCGAATCCGCGAGATTCTGCTACGTCTCGCAAATGCACGATGTATAACAACACTGGATGCCAACATGGGATACTACGCTAGACAATTGGATAAAGAAAGCCGTCCGCTTACTGCTTTTTGTCTACCATTCGGCTAGTATCAGTACAAGCGTCTGCCAATGGGAATTTCTACCGCACCTGACGAATATCAAGCCTGCATGAAAAAGATATTTGGCGATCTGGAATTCGTCGTTGCATATTTGGACGATCTGCTAATTTTTTCCCGTAATGAAATGGAACACTTAGAGCATCTTTGGGTGGTGTTCGAGCGACTTGACCACATTAAATGGAAAAAATGTCATCTTTTACGACCGGAAGTAGATTACCTGGGCTATACACTGACTGCGGACGGCATGAGGCCGCAAGCAAAAAAGATTCAAGCAATCAAGCAGCTTGCGATACCGCGAAAGAGAAAAGATCTTCGACGATTTTTGGGCATGATTAACTATTACCGTGACATGGTGCCAAACAAAACCGCATTGTGCCAGCCATTGCATCGATTGACAAGTGCAAAGGTTCCGTTCACATGGCTTCCAAGTGATACGAAGGCATTTCGGGATATACAAAGAGCATTTGCGGAGGCAGTTCTCCTAGCCTTTCCCGACTTTACGAAACCGTTTCATTTGTATGCCGATGCCAGTGGAAAACAACTTGGTGGCATCATCATGCAAGATCACAAGATCATCGCATGTCTAGTAATTATTCCATCCACGCTCCAGGATGACTTAATACATTGGTATCATTGTAGCCTCGAACATCCAGCTAGCGAACGTCTGTACAAGACTATGCGCCAAATTTTATATTGGCCCAGCATGGAAGAGACCATTGTGGACTTTATTAAGAGATGCTTGGTGTGCAAGCGTGCAAAAGTGCATGGTGGCAAACAAGACTATGGTTTACTGCCACCAAGGACTATGAAAACCGTTAAACCATTTGATGTGGTTCATGTTGATCTTGGGCCCTACGATGACGGATACTACGGAATTACCATAATTGATCAGGGAACAAGGTGGTTGGAAGTGGGTGTCCAAAAAAACAAGTTGTCACTGACAACGGCAGAAAGTTTCGATCGCGAGTGTCGTTATCCTAGACCACGAGAAGTAATCCACGATCAAGGAACTGAATTTACTGGTGCAGAGTTTCAAGAACTTTTACGCAGCTATGGTATTAAGGCGAAACCTATCATGGCAAAAAACCCTCAAGCAAATGCTATATGTGAGCGGGTCCACCTAGTGATCCTAAACATTATTCGCTGCTATGAGGATGTTGACTGGAAAAAAGCTATCCACTACGCTGCCTTTGCTGTGCGTGCTAGTTACCACAGCGTTCTAAATGCATCGCCAGGCCAGATTATCTTCGGACAAGACATGATATCACGTCGGCTATACGAAGCTAATTGGAGCTATCTATTCAAGCGACGATTCGAAGCGATCTTAGCAGACAATACTCGCGAAAACCGCAAACGCTTGGAACACTTCTACAACCCCGGCGATCACATCATGCTCCGTGTTCCCAAAAACTTTCGCGCAAAATTACATGCAGTTTCGCAAGGACCATATTCGATCCGAACTGTTCATAACAATGGAACCGTAACAATCGACAAAGGTGCATCAACTGAACGAGTTAGCATTCGCCGCATCTTTCCGTGCTAAGTGCTCAGCCTAGTGCTTCATGGGGGGAGTATGACATGCCAGTTGGTATGACAGATGATTGATGGACATGCCAGTTAGTATGCCAGATGGTATCTGACATGCCACAGTTGACAGGTTATGACAGCACGTTAGGTTAAGCACGATAGGACTTATGGTTGTTTAATTAGTTCATTCTCATTTCTACCTACATCTCCAGAAGCCTCTCCAGCAAGCTCTCGGAGCCGATTGCCCCTCTGCCAGCCAAGGGCGTGTCAAAAGTATACTGGACCAGTATACATACGATGGACTGTGGTAGCAGCGAAGATCATAGAAAACTTGTCCAACACTGTGTCATTCACGTGAATGGTAATGAGATGACGACATTGGATTGTACTACTTTGAGCAAAGGGTTGTCATTTAGATACATCATTTTTAGAAAAATATCACTGCTTTGTCACCTCTATTTATGCTATTTGTATTGAGACATTTATGGGAAGGCAATATTGATCAACCACCTTTTTCGTAATTATCAACCACCTCAAATTTATTAAGATCTAATTGGTTAGAGTGGTCAGTACCCCATTTTGTGTAAGTAGAAATAGGACGTCGATAACTATTGAGATTATCGGTATACTGACTCGAGCAAGAAAGGCTTTACATGGAAGTGATTGCTTATGAAGCTTGCTTTGCCTACTACCTGATTTATATGTGCTCACATATAGATCATGTAAAGCGTCTCACCATCCTACGCGTCTAATCAACCCTGAGGTGATTACCGTAAAAACGCTGTCATAAACTAAGCCTTGCACTTCAAATTGCATTAGCAACCCTGTCTTGTCTTCGGTCCTCCCTAAAGAACTCCCTTCGCCCCAGTCAAGCTTCGCTCCAAATTCAAGATTCAACAGGTTATGAGCCCAATCGTCATGCCTTCTTCGCAAGAAGATTCCTCGTCCAAGGTTTCCATTGATCGTATCAATATAGACAACTACGCGACTTGGAGCCGCTACACGCGTGGCGTGTTCCTAACCAAGTCCGCGTGGCACGTCGTCAATTGCGAAATATCGCAAGTGTTTGCGGACCCGCGCACTATGGAGGACTATGTAAAGTTCAGCAACATCGCATTCAATCTTATGCTTTTTCATATGGACACGGACTATCATCACGTAATTGATGATTGCA